CCATGATGTAAAAGACATGTGTAGCAAGTCCAAGGATGCGCAATAGTCATTTTCTTTGACCAATCAAAAACTGGTCAGAGATGCGAGGAGGAACATATGGTTTCTCCCATGGTAGAAGACAGATATTATTATTTATAGTCGTTGCGCACATTTTGTAATAAAGATTCGTAAATAAATCTCTCTACCGTAAAACATAAATATATATTTATTAATAAATTATAAAACATAATTATAACTTATAAGTCAAACATACCAGAATATCAAATTTATTAGATTTACTGATCAAATTTACTGCCATAATTTTTTTAGATATTATATGTAATGTATTAGTTGCTTTCTCCATTTACATCAAAACTCAGATAATTCTCACTTGTGACGTCATTCTGTCTTTATTATTCATTAATTGCCAAAAAAATAGAACGACCTCACATGTGAGAATTATCTGAGTTTTGATGTAAATGGAAAGTACCTATTGGCTGCGTTTTGCCGAACCTCTGCTTAGCTAAGCGCAAAGATATCTTAAGATATCTTATAATAAACTCAAGGCGATTTTAAATATATAAGATAGTGTCAGGAAAATTGTTCTTACAGTTTGCAATACAATAATTTCTGTATACTTCTTCATTAATAATATGTTTTTCAATTCCTTATTCGACATATTTAATCTTCCTTTACTACTTATTAATCAATGTAGAAATTGTTTTTTTATCATCAATTTATTATGTATTACATATTTTTATTAATTTATGAGTTTTCGTATTATATTTACAAATTTTTTAATTTTGTTTGCATTCTTGTCACGAACCTTGACATAATGCTACATTTGAATGTGGCGCGATGTTCCGGACCAAAATTTGATTAGCTGTCGTATTCTTCGGCCGCCGTTATGCGCAATGGGCGCGTTCAGCAGACCAAGCTGCTGAGTAGCAGTCGAACGTGATTGGCTCTTACTTTTAGAACCAACCAATCAACGCAGAGTGTTGATAAGACGAACTCAATAGTTGTGTTTGCTGAACGCGGCCAATGCTACCTTCTACATCATGGGAGCAACGACAACGATCCTTCGCGGAGTAGTCAAATCGGGAGTTGCGGAGCAAACTTCTAGTGACTGACAAATGTACCGTTTTTCGCGCGGCGCTTTGGCGGCCCTGAGAGCGGAACCGCACTGAAGTAGGTCGTAAACCGTGGACCGTGGACGCAGAACGAGGGAGGGTTGGCGCGGCCCGGTTATTTGGACACGTTTATGGTTATCAAGTTTGACAATAAACATCGGGCGGTCCTGTATGACACGGAGTTAACGATACGTCAGCATGGGTGAGTCGAGAGCGCACGATTTCCCGGGATGCCGCGCATTTATTCCGCGAAAAAGGCGAATATGGTCGGCGCGACTCCGACTACCGAGTTTGTCCCGTCACGCGGAGAGAAAGAGAGAGAGAGAGAGAGAGTGAGATCCTGACGATATCTCTCGTTACAGGTGGGTTGCTCAGTTACTTTCGTAACCTGCTCGGCAGCCGCGAGATGCGGATCCTGATTCTCGGCCTGGACGGCGCCGGCAAAACCACGATTTTGTACAGGTTCGCATTGACGGTTCCGCTCACCTCCGATCACTGGCTGTCATCCGTGTGTTTACACGGTGCATCTATTACTATAGTCACTTTAGGCGATTTTTAGCGTGACTCTGATATAGCAACCAAAGTTGCCAAAGTGTGCCAAACTGTATCAGAACATTTTTTGCGTGTAATTTAGTAATTTGGTAATTTTGTGGTATAGCCGTTTTGGTACCTAGTTTGTAATACCATGCTAAACCAAATAATGAAGCAGGATACTTGTTGCAAATATGTGCCAAATATAACACAAATAGATGTATAAACAATGTATTTTACATATTTATTTTGTAAAATTTATCTTAGACTCGGTATTTCAATCACAGTTATCCTATAAGCACAAGTTTTGAGTTTGCACATATAGAAAAGAACCAGTATGTTTTAGCATAGTGTTGCGGTACTTATTAACAGAATAAGCTCCACCTCTATCAATGGCAACCTTGATATATGTACCAAACAATCGTCTAAAAATTGTCTAACTTACAGATCATTGTTATCTTTATATCTTTGGCACCATTTTAAACAATTTTTGCATGCAATTAAATATTAATATTATCACCGACAAGAGACTATTAAAGATCGACAGTCTTATGGAAGTTTGTGTAACTGTTAAAATTTAGATGACTCATAATGTACTGATCTTGTGATTTATTATTATCCCATTGTTTTGTAGACATGTACATACATATATATATTTAGGATTCAATAATATTCAATTTCCATTTAAAACTGCAATTTTATTATTATTATTCAGGTTTTATTCATTAGAAAAAAATGTAGTTTTATGGCAATATGGCAGTATATTATTGCGTCATAAATACACATTTTTAGTTATGAAACATGTATAATAATAAATCAAATTTAATATTACGTTAAGAACTAATTATCGAGTTATTTATGTTAGTAATCAAAAAACTTACGTTTATTATCGATAATATTGATATTCTTCAATTATCTTTAGGCTCCCTAAACCCCATGAGTCATGATATGAGTCATGATAGTTTGCCTAGGATTAGTGCTTTTTAGTAGTAACATTTGTCGGTAACATTATGAGTATTATATATTTTATGTTTCTATGATATAAATTTCCAAATATATATACTTGAATATGTTACATGCTATCGTGACAATAATGAGAGATAAATATATATTCAATAAATTTCAACCATGAAATGTGCTATAAGCAAAATTCTTTAGCCAATTGCTTATTAGGTTACAGGTAGGCGAAGTAGTAACCACAATACCAACCATAGGGTTCAATGTAGAACAAGTTACTTACAAAAATTTAAAGTTCCAAGTCTGGGATCTCGGTGGTCAGACGAGTATACGGTACGTTGAGCTTGTATATGTGGGAAAATTAATCCCAGAGTTTATAAATAAGACTCTATCCTAAATTTTAATGATGCATATGCGTATATTGTTAAAATATATTTTAAATATTTGCTTTCAGACCATACTGGAGGTGTTACTATTCCAATACAGATGCGATAATTTACGTGGTAGATTCGGCAGACAGAGATAGAATAGGCATATCAAAGGATGAATTAATTCTCATGTTACAAGTAATATTGCTTGTTGAATTAACAATCTTGCATTTTTTAAATAGAAAAAGATCTTTATTTCAATACTTTTTATGCTATAATTAACAATTTTTTTAAAAATATGTATTCAGAACGTATCTTTCATTTAAATAGGAAGAAGAGTTACAAGGCGCAATCTTGGTGGTACTGGCGAATAAACAGGATATGGCGGGATGTCTTAGTGTCGCAGAGGTCCATCAAGCGCTCGGATTGGACGCTCTCAAAAACAGAACCTTCCAAATATTTAAGACTTCCGCGACGAAAGGCGAAGGACTGGACCAAGCTATGGACTGGTTGTCGAACGCGCTGCAGAGTAGAAAATGATCAATATTATGTCAGAATTATTTATATACGAGCCTTAAAAGGGGACTAGTCATACGACTGTCGCTCTAAATGTGCCGCCGGATTGCCGGGCATGCGATGTTTTGTTTATTTATTGTGATTATTGTATTTTAAATATTTTCTTTACAATTTACAGCGAGAATATTCGAGGAATCACTGTACTTTTTCATAACGCTGAACACAATGATAAGGGGATCATTTTATCTTTCTATGTAATTTAAAATAAACTTAGAGGATTCTTTCGACTTAGATTTTTTGCATTAATAGGTATCTCGTACGCTATTTCTACGCGTAACGTCTAATTAATAATTTTATTAAAATAATTGTCCCGCTATTCATTTAATATTGACGATAATTGAACTTGATATTGGAATTATAAATTGTAATGGGAACACAAGTATATTGGTATCAAATATGCAACACGATTACCAAACAAAAGAATAAATATTCGAAAAAAATTTAAACTCATCAAATAAGAATGCTTCAAAACATTTAGATCGTATACACATTATACATAATATGCTGTCATCTTGATGTATCTTAAATTGTATAAAATGCTTTTTTTCAATACGAGTAAAACGAATTAAAATAAAACTTAAATTGGAATAAGATACAAATGCAACACACCATACTAGCATTTATAAAAATTGTTACACATTATAAACAAGATAAAATTCTCTGCTGCGAAATAATTGCGTTGGTTTAGAAGTGATGACTATCTTTAAGTATATAACACAAGTTTCACATCCTGAATTAAATTCTAATTTAACAGAATTTTTACCGCTTGGCGGCAATTATACCAAATGATAGACCGCGGTTGATATTTTCCAACGTGTGTATTTATATTTCCCGAGCAACTTACTGAATTTTAATAATTTATTTATATATCAAGAAATATATAATATAAATACTATTTCATAATAAATATTCCAACTAAACTCATTATATGTAAATAGTAGCAATTTTGTTGTTTGTAATAAGTAGTAATAGCTTTTATAAAACGAACCTACCTATGCGAGATGTGATATCGCTCTTTTCACTACCATTCCGGGACACCAAACCTTTGGATTCGTTTGATTTTTGCGGCCATGTCTATTCGAGATTTTACCCTCATGTAAAATATCGGGCAGTCACGACTAAAAATATATTTAAAAATAACTATTTTGGAGCATTTATATCGTTCATATTTACTCTCCTACATATAAATATTGAATTCAATGTTATGTAAAAATATATCCTTATTCGAAAAGAGTATTCCATATTAATACGACTAACTTGGAGCATATAACTTCTTGGTGGAGACTCCCTTGACACCTTTGGCATTCCGCCCACAATCTAGAAAACTTCTCTTCCAGTTTGTGTTGGCCCTGCAACTCATTGTGGAATAGCTCGGCCTCTTGAGGTTCGCAATGCTTGCATACCGCCTTGTCGGCCCTGTCCGGTGGTAAAACAGCTTTACAGCCCAAACAGGTCTCCTTTTTACGTGTGAAAGCAGCGAGTGCTCCAACTTGCGAGGTGGCGATGCATCTGGTGCGCGTGTGATCTCCTTTCAGGAGAAGCGATTCAGCCTTCTCGCCGAGGATAGGTTCAAAGATACGTACAAGAGGTTTCGCCAATTGGTTCTCCAGATAATAGGTCGTGTCTATTGGGATACTATTCTGCAATGCATACACGGGATCCTCCGCCTTCTGATATGCTGGTGTGCCTTTAGCTGCGCTTGTAAACACATACGCGACTCGGTCACCGAGTTTCGGCGCGTTTCCGGCATCTCGTTTCTTCATTTTCGCCGCCAGCTCAACGTGCGCTTGCTTCGCCGCGTAATCTGTCTTCGTCAGTTCCTTCGTGATGACTAATTGAGATAGATCGATACGATTGCATAGAAGATCGCTAATGACCTGTTTGGCATAATCCAGGGCGGCCTTTGGATTTCTGTAACGTTATGTTACAATTACTTATTGCTTATTCATAACATAAATACGCACGACTTGGATGAAGCACGAAGGAAGAAATAATGTACCTTTCGATAAGCAATATTTGCAAACAGGTATTCATCATGTTTGCTACCAATGGACAATTATCTCTGCGCACCGTTTCGAGACCTTTGCAATCCATTTTGTCATATTTATCGGGTTTCGTAAAATACAGGCCAGCATAACGTTTCTTGTTGATTAAGAGATACGGAAAATACACTTTCTCAAACTCCAGATTTATAGGCTTGATGAATTTAGACGTCACGTAATCGGCCGCCTCTCTACCGAGTTCCATTGCATCTTCTATAGATTTTACGCCAAACTTTACCATCACGGAATCCGTGTCGCCGTATATGACTGTCGCATCGTTTTTGTATCCATTTTCTACTCGAAAGCGATCCTCCACTGCTTGCTTTGTTAGTTCTATCATAGTGCGTCCATAAGCGGTAACGCTCTGCAATTATAATTATTATAATATATTCTATATTTTCCATTAAATATTTCGCAATGCTCTTTTTGTTAAATATGTTTCGAAGAATATCAATAACTTACAGCAGATATTTCCAAGCATGGTAATTTTCCCATCTGCGCACCCGTGAAACCATACACAGAATTTGCCGACACTTTCAAAGCGTATTGCCTACCATCGAGTACTTTTTGCTTCAATGGATCCGTTTCTTGCTTTAACTCTACCTTTGCTTTTTTCCTGGCCCCCAATAGGTTTTCCAAAATCTCCGGAAGAAGCCCTTTTCTTACGGTGCTTTTAACAAATAATGAATTACTGGGAGTTGTGGTAATTTGGTCCTCCTGCATATTGAGTTCCTTCCTTTTAGCAATGGTTAATAACGTCGTGTAACATAAGTTATGCGCCATGATAATGCTAGGATACAAGGAACTGAAGTCTAAAGTTGCTATTGGGTCATTGTAGTACCCACGCTTAGGTTCAATGACGGTCGCTCCTTCGAATTGCTCATCGGTACCGTGGCCCTGATGCGTTGGCAGCAAGTAATCCTTTTCCCTGGTCTAACAACATTAACAGAAATGATTAATCATGAATATCAAGACAATCACTTCTTTCTTTAATTATGTAAATTTATTACCTTACGTAGAAGTTGAGAAACAACTTTGATTTGTTGCCCGCGAGTCAATAAGCTAGAAATGGATACTCCCGTAACTCTTGCCATTTCCATATAGATAATAATACACATTAGTTTGTCCAATAATCTAAGTGGTAAGTAGGCATCTTTCAAACAATATACAGCGAGACGTCGACGTGTCTGTGCATTTCCGTTTTGTAATCCCGTAATATCCTTATGCTGGACATCTTCTTTTTGTTCTTGAAGGAAATGATACGATACCGCGTTTAGAGTGTAAGATCTCAGTTTGTAATCTCGGACCAATACCTAAAAAATACATATTTTTATTAAAGCTGTGATACAACAGAAAGAATCGTGTTCATATATGAATTTCTTTACCAGTAATAAATCGAACGGAACTCTTCCTTCAAAATTAATCGATTTGTTCTCACGACGACCCATCTGTTTACTCTGCAGCACATGATCCTTGATCACAGACTTTATATTTTTTATTCGACCGAGGAAGTTGAAATTCTTAACATTGAGATGTTGCGCACGATTAATCAGATACGGGAAGTCAAAATTGTTTATATTATATCCCGTAAAAATGTCAGGATCTAATTGTCGCACAAAGTCGGCCCATTTCTTGCAAAAGAAAATAACACCATTAATAAACAATTGATGTAATCGGATACTTTTCCTACGTTTTAATTAGCTTACCTCCAACATTAAACTTTCCTTGTCAAAGCTTAGAACCTGCGAACCGACGATAGGCGCACAAGTATCGAGGGTAAAAATATTTCTTAAAAATGGTTCAGGCTCGCCCTGTCTTATAACCATATTAGCAATTTGTATCACAGGGTCATGTTTCGCTTCCGGAAAGATACCTGTAGAAAAGATAATTAAATTCACGCGGTAAAGGGCATTACAGTAACAAAAAAGAGAAGAAAAAATACAATAATTACCTTCGCGTCCAGCGCACTCGATATCGAAACTGAGAATTCTGAATGGAGCTATTTTTGACCATTCTCCTTCCGGAACATGAGCTATAAAAGTATCCCATGCAATATCTACTTCCAATTGGCATCGTGTAGTTAGTTCCAACATGTGTCCATATTGGCCACGTAATTTCCAGCTTCCCGGTGTTAACTCAATCCAACAACAACCGACAACTGACGTATCAGCCATAAACCTTGCGTTTAAATGATCAAATATAAATTTATTAAAATTTTGATAAAAACGTAACGTATAGAAATAATACAGAGCGCTACGTTTACACTACCTGATATCGAAATCGATGTTACTTTCAAATGCTTGATAGTGATAATTAAATGCGGTATAAATCGTATCTCGTTCTAATAATCTTCTGCAAGCTGCTATCAATCTTGGGACTGCCACTGTAATTTTCAAAAACGGCAATTTGTCATTTCCTCCGTATCCATACACCGATTGTTTATAGACCAATTCGACTGCCAGGATGGCGTCTTGTATGTTATCTGGATTTGATTTCATATCTCTCTTCACAGCTTGATTAAGAGCCTCCTGTATTGAAAAAATTCTTATGTCAATTACTTATTCTCAGATTAACGCAAAGGAAAGAAATTTTTCTATTACAATAAACATACTTTAAATGGCCTACAGTGATTGTTTGTGAAATTCGATGGAGCCGATACAAACAGATATGGACAAAAACCATGGACGTGACAACAGACGGAATTTCCTAGCTCCGTAACGCCAAACATCCTCATTATTGGTACAGGTCCTACCTTACTGCCTGGCATTCCCGGAAGGGGTTTACCTACATACAAATTTTTCAATATTAGTATTTTTCTAATTGACAGAGTTGCTGTTACTTTTAACACATATTTTAAAAATATATTATTACCTATATAATGGTCAATTTCAATTTGCTGGAATGTCAATGTATCAACTTGTGGATTCAAAGGTGGCGGAGGAGCCCTGCTCCATTTTGCAGATGTATTTTCTTGTTCAGGTCCCTGTGTGCATAAAAGAGAATTATTAATAAATAATATAAACTATAAATGGTATATGTTTAAAATGGTATATGTTTAAAAGGAAATTAATTTTGTATTGTAAAAAATATGATTTTACTTCTCCGATTAACAGAGTCTCGTCTAGAAAATCATCATCTGCAAGATCCATAATGGCCAGTTCAGCTTCAAACGAACTAGGTTTCTCTTCATTTTCATCTCTGTTCGACAAAATTAAGACATTTCAAAATTTGTTGTATTACAAAGAAAAATTTGATAAAGTTATTAATATTCATATTTTAAATAGCAGTAGTTAAATGTAAAAAATTTATTGAAAGAGTAGAATAATAAAAACAATTAGTATTTGTTTAGATTTAATGTATATATATATATATATATATATATATATATATATATACAATAAATCTAATTTATATATATGTAAATAGAGAGAAAACACATCTTGGAAATAAACTCTAATTCAGATTTAAATAAACAGATATAAAACATACGTATATCCATTCAATCAAATGATATAAAGTATAAATTAACTTAGTGAAAAACTATCATGAAAAACTGTTGTTAATAACGAAATATAATGAGGACAGAAGTGAGGTTAACAAGTTCAATAGTGAAATGAATGATTACCTAAATTTGGGCTTCTTCGGCGCCGAAGGTGCCGAAAACGGTTTTCGATTTACTTTACTCATTTCTCTCGTTGTGACACGTAATATTTATACGAAAAAAACACAAAGCAAGGAGCCGCAAAGCTCCTACGATACGAAGAAAGGCGGGAACGGTTTTGGCCTCAATGGCCCCGGTTGATTTTACTATGATTTACTACACTACCGCCAGTACATCCATTTTCAAAATTGGTACTACGTAGCCACGTTCATTTTCCGACACTGCCGATAAAACATCATTCTGGTGCGCGTCCGCGTTTACATTGGTCGCGTTCAGCAGACCACAAGCCGCTCAGTAGCAATCGAACGTGATTGGCTCTTACTTTTAGAACCAACCAATCGAGGCAGGGTGTCGATAAGACATACTCAACAGTTGTGCAACAGTTGTGTCTGCTAAACGCGCTCATTTACAAATGTACATATGTATGTATGTATGAATGTACATACAAAAAATTCATTATAATTGTGTCTAACAAATTTTAATTTGGAAATATTAAAGGCCGACTCACAAATAATTTCAATCAAATAATAATATAACAACAGTACCTACAAATTAGTGTCTCAATTCAAAAATAAATTTCTAAACTACATAATAATAAGAGGAAAATTAAAATTTTCACTATTCTACATTTTTATTATTTTAATCAATATATAGTATAATAGGTATATTCGTTCAAAGAAAAGCCACGCAAATGACCAATTTTGCTGCTCACACGTCACTGACGTTGTCATAAAATGATGACACAGGCTCGAAATGTCAAATTTAAAGCAAAAAAAACTTGCGCAGAATACATAAATCAATTCTGTAGGTGACGCGTTTACACGTACAGCACGTAATTAATAATGAATTGGCGAAAATTTTGGCTGGGAGTGATGGACGAAAATGCGAACGAGATCGAAACGGATACGAACGACGAAGTTAGTGAAAGCGACGATGAAACTGTCTCGACGGAAAAGAGTTCCAGGAATATCGGTGCTTCTTCTCCTAAACTATTTTACAAGTGGCTGCCAGAGAAATGTCTCAAATTCTGCTTCTTGTTGCTTAACAGCGTGGCCCTCGTAAGTTTTCAAAAATGGATGTTTCGCCAGAAGTTTCCAACATGCAATTTTTATAGGTTCAGAAATGAGAATAATTTATAATTTCCGAATTTATTAAGCTCGCAGGTGCAACGGCGATAACGATATCTATCTGGATGTTGACTGGTGCGAATTTAACGTCTAGATTGCTCGGTCATCGGCTGTCCATGACGATTGTATTAATTCTAGGAGTTTTTGTGTCTTTTGTAGCTTTTACTGGAATTGTAGGAATCGCGAAGAAAAGAGAATATTTCATGATCGCCGTAAGTTGAATTAATAAAGACAAAACAAACATTCTAAAAGTGCATATTTTCTGTTTAAGATATAACAATTTACATCGACTTACTAATTGGAAAATTAAACGTAAAATGAAAAATTTGAAAACGGTATTTTTTCTGTCAAATATGTATATTTTATCTTTCAGTACTTAATAAGCCAATCAATCGGTCTCTGTGCCGTATTTGTGTCCCTGACAATGAGTTTCCCGTTTTTCGACAAGATTACGAAAAAGATTCGAGATGACATGTTCTACTCTATGAAAAATTATCAATCTTTAAATTGGGCTGTAGAAGAATGGGACAACACTCATAGATATGTAAGAGCTTAAATGCTTATTAATTTTTCATAATCACCAGCATAATTTTTTCGATCGTATACTTGAAATTTTTATTAATGATAATTTGTTTCAGTTAAAATGCTGTGGAATTAGAGCATCCAAAGACTGGTCGGATCATCAAATAAGCATTCCGCAAAGTTGTTGTTCTACATCAATTAAACAGGTAAAAACACAGGCTTTAAAAAATCTTATTAAAATCTTTAAAATATCTGCTGTCTAATACATGAAAGAAGGAGCAGAACTGCAGAAATATTATACGCGTAACTGAATACGACATTAAATTAAAGAAAGATAACTTATAGAGCTTAAATAACTATAGGGAACATATTAAAATAGCTTCCATCTGAAAGCTACATCCGCTCCTTAGTCATGGAAGAATTACGCCAGTCACGTCTTGATCCATTTTCTGCCAAGTAGCAGAAGCTTAGTGCATGTACCTACTTTTTTTTTCATGCCGGGAAATGAGTAAGTTGCGTTCACGCGCGGCACACATCCGGTCGCGCCTAATAATATCCGGATCCCTCTTACTCTTCTCGTACTTGAGAATCTTCTCTTTTTCCTGTTTCTCGGAAGTCTCTCTCTCTCGAGTCTCGACAGCTCGTCATAATTTCCAGCCGGTCAACTGCAATAAACTACTTCATCAGTAGATTATTCCCAGACGGTCGATATATAAGCGATATAAATTAAACAAGTTAATGAAACATCGTATTTACTCGACGATCATAATTACGATTATTAAATACACTAATATTATTAATTCGCTTTAATCCGCATTTATTTAATTGTTAAATAAATATATTATCCAATATCCAATATCAGCGGCAAATTTATAACATGAAACGGATATATAACCGTCGTATCGTTAATTTGGAAATAAATAACAATTTAATACGGAATTCGCACAGGGTTGATTTATCCGATTTATCTGACCGATTTTCAGTGCCTGCACATGACAGAGGACGTGTCTTATAAATCTGGATGCTTAAAAGGGGCCGTAGTGCTATTAAAATCGTACGTTCAGACCGCCTCTATTTCCACGCTTGTCATATTTCCACTTCTGGTAAATCAAAGCTCATTACTCTCTCTCTCGCCTTCGTGTGTATTTGATAAGAAAAGAATCAAGAGAATTATTCACATTTCACAGTTAATTAGCGTGCTTTTAGCGCTCAGTTTACGAAAGGGATTGAAGACGAATCGTTCGACGAGGGACGAAGCGATCTATTTGTGAAGACATCGGAGGGTGAAACGTGACTTAGAAGTGAATGACAAGTCCGGTGAAACGTTTTCCCGTTTTTTATTATCATATATAGATCATATATTTTCTGAAAACACTTAATATATTGTACTTAAGATAGTAATATTGTAAGTTTATTGGACAATGCTGGTTGGATCGCCGTCTGCCGCGTGGCAGTGGTTCAAGTGGAAAAGTCCGTAAATTACTCACTTCCGGCGTTTCTACGATGATCATCAAATCGGGGATGTGTTTTCAACACGCGGAGGAAAAGGGGGAGGGGAGAGAGGCGAAAAAATACATTTATAAAAATTGCTCGTGACCATCGTAACGCTCTCTCGTTTACGGGAAGGGTTCAAATGGAAGGGGGAGACGGGGGAGGGCAGTGTTTGATCGGATAGCGGGCGGGATGAGTTTCTTCCTTTTTCTTTTCTTTCCCTACAATAAGATGATGGAGCGTCTTACATGAAATCGATTGCCTGTCGATGCGAAATATTGACGTAGTGATAATTCAAACGCGCGCGATGCACCCGTCTTTTTCCTCTCCATTTATCCTCTCCTCTGAATTATATCGTTAAACGACCGCGGCAGTCGACACCGCGTTTTTGCGTATGGCTGTGTGCGTGTATGACTGTGTTACGTATTTTGTATATATGCTTTTATACATATATATGTCCTGTACTCGTGTACGGGATGTATGACGGATCTAGCTGCGGGAAATGGGGGGAGTGAAGGGGGACAAGGCTCTGGGCGCAGTTTCAGGCAGGTTCCCATCCAATTACAGATATATTATATCATAGCAAACATCGTGACTATTTACAATAAATACAGTTGATTAGGTTATATAAATAAAATATATATAATATCGTATCGTTAGGTTTAGGTTTACAGCAACACGTGACAGTAAACAATTAGATCAGCGGCAAAGTAGCGTAATCTATCTAGGGTAGTGGTCGTAGTAGCTTTTTAGCGTGGCTGACTCTTTTCCGTTTCGCCTTTCGCGCTCGCTTTTATCTTCGGATATCTCTCATTTTCACGCTCTCCTTCTTTCTTCCTTTCTTTCGTTCTCGCATCTTTAACTTCCGTCACGTTTTCCGGAATTCCGAATTCTTCTCCCCCCCCCCTCGATCCCTTATTTTTTTCGGCGTGGAGTCGCGCTCGAGAACCAATCGCGCCGCAAATGCGTGGATCGACGGTTAACTGCTATAATTGGCCACTCTAGCTCCTCTCGCGTGTACGTATATATATATCTTCTCAATATATTCATATATATTTATAATTTATTTATTTATCTCACATAATCATTATTTCTTCGCGCGTTCTACTTCGTTTCTTTTTTTATTTATTTATTTATTTAGAGAAGTACGTGGAGTTTGTCGCGATCCCCCGCGGGCGGTCGCGGGGGGACGAACGAGTCTGGAACGAGTTCGCAAAAACGAGAGATGAAACTTCACGGAAGTTAGAGAGTGAATTCTTTTTTTTTTTCTAATATTACAATCGCGTGAGACGGGGTCGGACCTCGAGTCGAGTTTTAGGGGGCCCTGCCCGTGTACGACATGTATACGCGGCTACCTGGCCCGCTCATTAATTTGACACGTGATATTTAAAAAATAGTCGATTCTTCTTGAACGCACCGTTGCCGGATCACAACAGCGGATATTAATACGGTTAAAGATCAAGAGTGTTGAGGGACAGTGTGAGGGGAGCAGATGTGAGGGGGTTGGCTGGCCAAAGGGGAAACGATGAGTGTTTAGATGTGCACGAATGTCGAAGCACTCCTGTTTCGCTTATCTAGAGAGGTCAGAAGCCCTCGGAAGATTAAACGGAAATTACCCTCAAATATTACCCTCGCGAAATTACCACCCCTGCTGAAAGGAGAGACGGCAGCTGCCTCATTATTACAATTACAGTCACTGGATAGAGTTATATTCGACACAGCCGAGGGTTGTCGTTATTCAATAATAAATTTCAACGCGATTTTAAAGCGATTGCTTCTAAGAAATCGAATTTCAACAGTCAGAGTAAATTATTTGAGATTAATAGCTTCAAGGTTTTCGCTATTTTTATATATAAGTGCTTTCTAAAGAGAAAATTGAAATAAAGCGAGATACAATTGTGTCAAGTTACGCTTAGATAAGCGAGGGAGGAATGCGGCTCGACGATCGAGCCCCTTTCTTCGCGGCCGTCCGCGAGAAAGTTCGCGATGATGAATGCGCGCAGGGGATAGATATTCACGGCGCGATTTAGCGAGTTCCGTTCTTTCGCGTGTCGTTTCGCGCGTGCGAACGAGGGCGTGAAATGTACAAAAAGGATCGCCCTTGCGGCCTCGTCGGCACGTGCGAGCGCGCGTGCCTCTGGGTTGGAGGAGCTCGTCTTGGACCGCGATTTAAAATGGCCCAGGCAACGCGACGCCGTAAAAGAAGCTGTAAAGACAACTTATCAGAACGTTGTTTGGATGTCTTTCGAAAATCTTTTACGATTTCGCGTTGCTGGGTAGTGTAGGTCTAAACACTCGCTCGAGTTAAAAATACGTTACGAAGCTTTCCTATCTCTCTCTCTCTCTTTCACTCGTTTTCTCTCTCTCTCTCTCTCTCTCTCGCTCTCGTTCTCTCTTTCTATATTTATATATATTTATATATATATTTTTTTATACACTCAGCATATAGATAACATTTTTTTATTCTTCATCTATTCAGACAGCAATGTCGTTGTGCCACTAACTATCCATAAACGGCACCATCTCTAAAGCCGCATTGCAAAATATCAATGGCGAGTACGAACGTTCGTGGAGACGCGAACAAACAATACGTGAATACGTGCGATAAATCGACAGATCCGGGATCTTCATGAGGGCGGACGATGAAGGGAAATGAGGAAAGGGAGAAGGAGGTGGATTGGCGGGTGATAATGAGAGGGATTTCCGACGCTATAAGGGTGGTTCGATGCACGTATATGGGTTTTGTGCGCGGGGAATTTGCGCACACATACACACACTCGTACGCGCGGGGACGCGTGCATACACACACATACACATATACACAGGCGAAACGATCGTTACTTGGCGGGCAGTAATTTTGGATACACATACTTAGTACTCTCGGTGAGGAAACATAGTAAACGTCCGTTACGTTCATATCCAGCAAGCACAAATATGCGATATTGTATACGTATTATTATTTTTTTTTTTTACCGATAATGAGTTTATCCCTTTTCCGAATTTCCTTCGTTTTCCGGCTTCACACGCAGACACATCGGCTCGCACGCCCGGCTCGCATTCCTCTCCGCGATCTCCGGACGATCACGGAGGATCACCCACCGTCGATCCCGAGCGACTGACTGTCTTCCCGCACATTTGCGCGCACGACGACGCGACATAGATCCACCGATCGGCGACGATCGGGAACGCTTACGCTACGGATAGGACACATCCACATGTTAAAAATACGTTTAGTCTCGCTATTTGGTATTCGACGACCTCATGCATGCCACATCCTTGCGATCATCGCTGATTCACTCCGCCGCTCTTTCACTCACTCTCTCTCTCATTCTCGCGCCGTACAAGAAAAGCACCACTTTATAATACAAATTCGTCTTGCCCTTAATTGTCTAAAGCCGCAAACGGAATTCAAGCTCGAGACCGCACGATCGAGTCCGCACGATCGCTGGCTCCTAGTCGCTCCTCTTCGAGGACACCGTGAGGATCACCTCTCCTCCCGATTCCTCTTCCTCGGTCCTCTTCTCGCCGAGGCCATTCATGGTTGAGACACGTTTTTCGCGCCTTGCTGCCGCTCTCCGCACCGTATTCGTCACCGCGCGAATACCGTACTTGCATCACACCCGCCGTTGTTCCTTTTTTCCTATAAGTACGACGTTAAAATATCGCCGGCAGGGCAAAACACACGCGTGGCTCGTCAACGTTGTCGTCAACGGCATCGCTCCTCCCCGATTTGCACTCTCCTCGCATTTATCCTACGCCGAAGAAGGCTGCTATGTCAATGTAAAGCTATGTATTGACTAGTTTCTCTCACTCTCTCGTCGCTCTCAACAACGAATGGCCTGTTTCCTTCTTCTTCTTCTTCTTCTTCTTCTCTCCTTTCTCCTCACTCTTCGCGATAAAACTATAATTACCTTGTATCGATGCGGTTATCGTCGAGCGTGCATGATTCGCACGCGCGGCACCACGGTCCGCCGTTTACTTTAGGCCTCGAGCGCAATCTCCACGAGCTTGCTGGCCCTGCCTCTCACGATCGTCATCAGGAGACGCCACATCCAGGAATTTAATTTAAACCTGCAAGCTGGTAGTGAGCTCGAGCTGCGTCCACGTCGCGCCAAACTCCCAGAAGGAATCTCGCAAAGTTCCTCCGTCCGGTCCGGGGGATCCGATGAACACTCTCCCGATTATCATCTCCTCTCCTCTCCCGCCGTCGCTTGTAAGGCTTTCGCGGATCTGCCAATCGTGGATCGCGCTGCTGGTCCGTGGAGCGAATACTCGGTGAAACCCGCGTTCCTCCGTGTGCGCTTAACGGCTCTTACACTCTACGTACCCTATACCTCGTGTGGTATATATATTTATAATATATTATATATAATATAACGTTATAGTGTTTTTGGCATCTTTGAAATACACAAATAGACTTTGGTATAAAACTTTTTGATAGTGTTCAGTACGTTTATATATATGCGCGTGCATATATACGGACGCTGCGCTACAGCGTGCTACAGCGGCATTTTTTACCCCCCTTCGTCGACTTTCACGCGTTTCCGGTCTCTCCTCCCCTCTCTATCTCGCTCTATCTCTCCGGTGTCGCTCACTCGAAAGTCCCGCGGCTTACTGGACAATGTCCCCACGCGAGGGGACGATACGACTGATTCTCAAATCGCTCTAGCACATCTTGTCTAACCACCAGAGCTTACAGGACGGCGCGCCTCTCCTCCTGCGTCGCTTCTTGCTCGATTGGTCGACGGCCTTCTTCACGAATCTAATGTTGTAGGGGTCCTCCGCGAGCTCGGGATACTGCTGCGCGTCGTGTATGTATTCGCCCTCGTAGTTGGACGCGAGGCCGACCTTCAGGATCTCATCCTGCTCGGCGACCATCCACTCGACGGACGTGGGGGTGTTCGTTTTGAGTGCCTCGCGTTCCCGGTGCCATGCCTTCCTGATGGCGGTCGCCTTCGCGTGATGCAGTAGCCTCTGCTTCTCCTTCTCCGCCGTGGTGCCGTAGCGCAGGTTCACCACGTAGCTGGTGCCGTGTATCTTCACGTCGATCAGCGAGCTGCTGCCGCTGCCGTTCTCGTTCTCATGGAACGTCGTGTTCACCTGACCCCCTAGTCGTTTCAGCTGACCGCGATCCTCGCTGGCGCGCCAGGTCTCCTCTTTGACGAAGTAGAAGGCATCCTGCTGTGCGCTGTGCACGACGAATGTAAATGGCAGGAAGTACGAGCGATTGAACACGGATGTGAATACGTCGCCATAAATAGCGTTAGCGCTGGGCACGCTGGACACCACCGCCTGGCCGTCGGCGGTCCTCGACACTAGGATACCCTTGCCGAACGGCGGATCGGACGCCGCACCCAGACGGCTGGGTATTAACTCACTCGTGTCTTTCTTCAAGGCCGATCGCGGCGGCGCGGACAAACTCACCGCGTCTCCTGAATGCCTCTGGGCGATGTGCGCGAGGAAGCCGGACTGGACGCCCAGATTGCGCGTTCTCTTTTTCTTACCGAATATCGAGGTTCCCGGACCGAGCGCTCGCGGGACGAGGCTTTCCGGCAGCTCGTCCGGGAATAGCTGCGGCGCTAAGCTCTTCAGGTCGTATCCGAGATGCGACAGCCATGATATGTGATCTGGAAAATAAAGAAACGTCGAATGTGTATTGATACAAATCGGACTATTGGTGATATTCGGTGATCATCAGCGAACTTACCGGTTGGTTGACTTGGTCTGTCCGTGTGTCTGACGTCGATCGGATCGTTTCCGTTAAATCTATAAAGGTGTAGGTGCGTCGGTTTGTCTACGCGATCCAAAACGTTCTCCCAGAGCGGTGACATCCACTGTCCTATCAACGGGTCGTAAACCTTACCGTTTGGCATGTGAACAAGAGAGGTGACCTGTAAATAGATTATATTGTTAAAACACAAAGTATAACAAAAAGAGTTTTAAATATCGTTACATTCCTGGATAAAAATTGTATTATTTTCTATCATTTTTTATTTTATTATAGTACAACATGAAACTCTTATTTACCTGATCCAGAAGTCCTCCACAGAAATCAACCGGCAAGTAAAGATATGGATTTGAATCGTAAACGATATGGCCGTAGGGCGATCGCATAATTTCCCTGATGCCCTCCCCGTACTGATTGAAGATCATAATAGGTGTCCCGCATTGATCAGTAGCGATATAATATTTGTGCCGGTACACTTGTGCGTAAATAAGATGTCCTCTGTCGTCATAGACCAGCGACATCAATTTACCATCGCGCGGGCTGTATATCTGGCTCACTTCGTGCGGCCGTTTCTGATTATTGTAGAAGAACTGAGTGACATTGCCGTAATTATCCTTCCTTGTGGCCAGTCGGTCCAGGTGATCGTAATAGTATCGCACGTCGAAGCGGCCGCGTTTCGTGGCGCGCACGAGGAGACCCTTGGCATTGTAATTGAATCTCTCCTCTCTCGCGTTCTGCACCACCAGACCTCGGTTGTCGTACTTGTAAAGACCCTCGCCAAACTTGACTATTCGGTCCATGGCGTTGTACTCCATCGGGATCGTGTTACCTCGATACGTGAGCGACAGCATATTACCGTTAGCGTCGTACTTGAAGCCCCACGGTTCTTGCGCCTCCACGCCGGTCAACTGACCGTCGCAGTCCCACGTGTAATTTTTTACGTTAGTATACGTGTTGACAGCGACGTTGCGCGTGTACGTTCTCGTCTGATTGATGCGGCCGCGCGAATCGTGCGTGAACTCCATCCTAAACACTTCCATCCGATGGATCGTCACCGTGACTTGAGTCTCCAGGAATCGGTCGTCTGTGGTGCGTGAGAACAGCGCGGTACCATCGAACACGGTCGTTTCATTCGACTGCGGCTTCGTCACCTTGAATTGACCGATTTGTTCCAACGTACCCGATCTCGGACTGTAAGCCATGGTGTGCGGTGGTAGCGTCTGACCGCCTATTCTACCCTGCACCGCGACCAGCCGAAAGTTTGAGTCGTATTCAAATGTGAATTTGGCGTTGCTCAGGCCGGTCTTGGCGCCGAAATCTATGCGCTCCTCCACCAAAAGTCCCGCGCTATATTGATAATCCCACTTGTACTCCACGTCTCTCTCGGAATGTATCACCTCGGAAGGTAGTCCACTCTCGGTGTATCTGATCTCGCTTTTACCATCACCGTGAACGACTTCCGCCAGTTGTCCTGAGGTGTGATATCTGTAGACGATACGAGCTCCGTCTCCCGGGAACACGGTCTGCAGTAGGTTCCCGTCGTGACTGTAGTGCTGCAGATAAGCTCTGGTGCTGCCGGGTGGAGTATACGTCACCCTGAGGAAACCGAGAGAAGCCTGACAGGAGAAGGAATGCTTGGTTTCCGACGGTAGAATGATATGTCGCAGTCCACCGTCGTCGTCGTATTGCAACGAGAACTGTCTGTTGCTGGCGAGCGTGATCTTCGACAGCATGTTGAAGTCGTTGTAGGTATATCGTTTCGTGCCGTCCTTGCTATTGGTAATTTCTGCCAATTGGCCGTGTCGATCGTAGCCGTACGACTCGTCGGAAGAGCCCCACTTCCAGCTCTCGATCCTATTGAATCGATCGTAGGTGATGCTGAGGTTGTGGCCTTGCTCGTACGGTTGCCAGACCAAGGGTAGGCCGGCCTGATCAAAGATCACTGTCAATAGAGGAGTTCCCGCCTTGTCGTAGAACGTCTCGCGGCTAAACGCCTGCTCGAATTCGACGCTTATTACTCGCGTGTCGTTCACCCAGATCTCTCTATTCAGCGTTTGCTGAGGATGGCTAACTTCTCCGACCAAGTTATACGTCGTCGTCATGGTGTTCGTTAATTCGCCCAACGACATCAATTGATAACTCCACATGGGCAGCATCTCCGCTTCCACCGGCAAAGCCGGTTTCAATAGCGGATGTTTCGTCGTCGCCGCGCTTAGTACTCTACCACCACCAGGTAGAAGTACCTCCAGGCTGCTGTTCGTAAATGCGATTGCTTTCATGAGTTTGGTGCCTGTGAATGAGAAATTACATATTAGAGCAATAATTTTCGTATTTAGTAATATTAGAGTAATGTTTTAACAATATTTGCAAAGAAATTGGAATATACTTGCATACTGGGAAAGATAGATTAAACAAAAATTAATTAATTAATTAAATAGAGAAAATACATACCGTCAGTGACTGTCAACATCTTCGATTTCTCGTTTTTCATCTCAAACTCCACAATTCGCTGTTTATCACCTTTCGATAAAGCTTGCAACGGAGCAGACACTTTTACCAATAGACCTTCATCGTCAGATAAGTCCGATGATAATTTCAATTTCTCGCCTGTCGGCAGTATTACGTCAGTGACACGTCCCAGACTGTCGTAATTGTATATGTATGTTTCATCTCCCTGAAATTTTAACAAAACATTGTGCTTTATCAATAAGAAGTAATTTATTCATTTAAAAAATCTACAAATTTTTTTCATCATATATGATTAAGCAAAAAAGAAAGAATAAATATTCATTCGATCAATGGACTAAAGCTATTCTTTATTAATGAAGATGAGCAATACAAATTTCCAACTTACTCCCGATCGACTGGTGAGCAAACCGGTAGAGCCATCGTAACCCAAAGCAATCTCTGCCCTGCCGCGTTCGGACAATTTCTCCAGGAATCCAACCGCGGAGATTTTCAACTCGGATTTATGATCCTGAGTGTTCTCGATGGAGCTAACGACACTGCTGTAATCCCGTAGAAATTGGATCTTATTGCCCGCGCTGTCCGTCACCGTGGACAACTTGCCGAAACTCGTGTTCTTGCTATACAGGAAAGAGTAGCGAGTCTTTCCGGACGTCAAATCCTTCGTGGAAATGTGTTGGCCGTAGCGATTAAATACGTAGATCTCATTCGAAGGCGGGAACGGAATGCGGAACTCCCCGTTCTCGTCGTGGTTCGGAAGATACGGCTGGAGAGCCAGGATATGAAGACTGCCCTGATCGGCCACGTGCAGGACACCGTCCGGCGAAACCGCCAGGGCGGATATCGCGGTGAACTTTGCGTTTGACGAGAGGAGTGTCTCGGTGCTGCTGGTATCGTCCGTGCAGGTGCACGTGTCCATGTCCTTGGTGCTGGGCGTAGTATTGTTGCACTCGCATTGGCGCAGTCTCTCCTGCTGCTGACCCGCGAAGTGTGACATCTTCCCGGAGGAATCGACGATCCTGATAGAGTTCACTCGGTGAGAATCGCGATCCGCTATGTACAGCTCGCCGGTTGGACTGAAACCGACGGCCAACACCGATCCGAGGACCTCGTCCGGCTTTTTCAGGATCGTCGTCAGCGACGAGTTCAGTTTAGGAAGTTCGTCGTTGCCGCTGTTGTTGCTGTTCGCGTTGCTGGTGCAGTGAAGAGGCGTGCCGGCGACCACGCGCACCTTCAGGTCGCTGGTGAGTTTCAATACCAGTCTATCGTCGATAAAGTGCAGGGATCCGTCCAATGGGCTCAGAGTTAATCCGGTGGGCCATTGTAACTGAGCCTGATGTGCGGGAATGGCTCCGATGCAGGGTGCGGGTGACCAATGATTGTGATGACCATGATGTCCCACGAGCGTGTGTATGATACCTCGAGGATCGACAGCACGAATGTTCGTTCCATCGGCGATGTACATCGTTTTATCGGCCGCAATTGCGATTCCTGCAGATCACAAAAAAAATCACGTTTTATTATTTTGCAAGTGATTCTATAATTTACAAATCTTTCGGTACATATGTTCGTTGTTTTGTAAAATTGTTTTTGAGATTACTTGAATTAACTTCAATAGTGCAAGCGCCTTTCGAGACAATGACAGATATATATTTCAATTTGTCCTTTACCTTTAGGATGAGCCAATTTTGCATGGATGGCCTGACCTTCGTCGCCGCAATGACCCTCGTCACCTGGGATACATCTCTCGCCGCTTCCAACAACGGGCTCGATATTAATGCTGGGATCTTGGACTTGTTCCAACGAGAGGGCTTTCAATATCTGATGTTTCTCCGGGTCGCTGATATACAAGTGCCCGTCAGCCGGCGAGATACATAGGTAATACTGATACGCCACTTGAGTAGCGCTGTAAAAGATGGGATACGCGTTCCAGATTAGATTTGAATCGTCGCCGAATTTACAAAAAATTCTGCAGAAAACACAAAAATTAATTACCTCAAAATCAGGACGGTGTAAACCTTTCCTTCGGGCGTGATTCTGCGTACGAGATTGAAGTCACCGACGTATATGCTGCCGTCGGGTCCGCTGGCGAGTGCCACCGGCGTCAGGAGTCTGGCGTCCTTAGCGAGACCGTCGCAATTCTGACACACCAGGCTCCTCTGGAGGCCGGTGCCCATTACCACTTTCACAGTGCGCGGATACTGTTTGAAATGTAGAGTAGAGCCGTCGCCTTTCTGCAGGATCCCTTCGTGGAAGTTGTAATGGTGATGGATGTCGAGTCCCCAGCCGCCGATATCGGAGATATCGACGTCGAATCCCTGCAAAGTGGCCGTCTGCGTCTCCCATATCACCAACGGGCAGGTGGAATGCTGATAGCCGATCGAGATCCTCGCTTGCGCCACGCCGTACACCTTCTGCTTGTAAACGTTTCGCTTGTTCCAGGCGAACGTGTGCGTCAGATTCGGATCGGCCTCGTACGTTTTCGTGTGTAGCGAGCCCTCGATCTCCACGTGCACGTGTACGTGCGTCAGCGATTTCGGAATGAACGGCCCGGTCAGTTGCATCCTCACGGTAGAGAGATAGCCCGCAGCCTGACTGCTTTGATACATCAAGTGGAGATTGGAGCCCGGAATAGCAATGCTTTCCTGCACGATCTGCAAGCGATGTTTAACGTTGCGTACAATGCGGTCGCACACAGTGCTGCAATCTCGTAAATATTGTTACATTCGTGTATTATCCTTTGATCGCTGTCCTTTTTACGTAACACGTCGAGATTTGTTCTTTATCGTGCGAGATTTGTTTAAAGTCTCTTGTTTTAAAGTCTCGCGCTCCGCGCTTTTCATTCAGGCGCGTTCAGAATGTTCAGATTGGTATCAAGATAATTATGTCATGTAAAAATTTTAGTTAAAAATTTTATCGTCCTAATCGTGATGATGAAATCAAGACTTTACTTTGATTGACGCAACGAGAGTGTTATAATTAAATCGTTTGCGTGGGTAGAAACTTACTTGACTTTCAGCAAAGACCAAGCTCTTGCCAGGCAAGCCGCCAACTTTTTCCGGCATCCACGTGCTAACGATAATTGGCCGTAGCGTCTCGTGATCGTGCTCCAAGCACGGACCGTGCTCGCTAAAGAGTCCCATTGAAATCCCTGGGAAGCCTATTATATTGTATTCCGTAAATGATAAGAAACTCAAAAATTCATAACACTCAAGGACGGAACAAAGACGGCACACACGTTGAGCTCTGGAAACAACACGGTGAAGATGCGCGCGGGATAACCGGCGCGCGATCCGATCCGACGTGGTCACGAGGAGCAATAATAAATTACGTAGAAACCATCGTAACGGGACTTTTGCAAATAATAAAAAAAAATGTCTATTCGTTTCCTTTTGTTATCTCTTCCTTTCCCTGCGCGCCAGGGATCGGTTTCAGGTGATCGAGCACGTACGCGCGTTTATCGAAACGTTTGTGACGTTAATGGGTAACGCGATCCGACACGTAACACGATGAGATATATGTGTACCAGGTCGACCGACCAAAAAAATAAAAAAAAAAAATAAAATAAAAAAAAAGAGGAAAAAAAGGGGGAAAAATCCGTAATACATATATCCGAGGCTCGATGCTTACCAACTGCCGGGCTCGGCGGCTGGTTAGATTTATACGATTCGCCTTCCTTGCTGAGGATCATCACAACGGGCGGCAGAACTACGATCTGATTCCAGGGTACGAAGACGGTCCTCGTGAGGGGTTTGAAGGGGCTGCGCTGGAATTGAAGCGTCACGGCGCCTCCGCCATTGACCAGGACGTCGAACCTGATCAAAGTACGTAAATGCATTTCGAACTACATTGCCGCCGGTATAAGGATCCGACGTAGGTCGATCAAGATAGTGCGCCCGCTTTATCCGAGAATGAATGTCCGACGAGGCCTTAGAATTGGAACGCGTGTCTTTTAAAAGTTCCTTCGTCCCGTTTGATTAATTTTCTAAGCGCGGCGTATCGTTAACTAGAATAATTTTGAAACATTTTCCCCACGCAGAAAAATTTACCTCGGTTGTATGAAATATAATAAAAATATTTCTATTCAAAATGGCATACCTTTTTATTTTTTATCAAAAAAGCAAAATGAAGCTGCATGGAAAGTTTCAATACAATATAAATAATTATATTAAAAGAACAGTAATAGCTTTTGAAGTATTAACGAATTTTAAAACTCTTTCTTGAAGGGTTATTACGAACAAAGGTATTATGATTAGTCTTATTTATTGACGTGAACAATGGACGAAGTAGATTTTTACGTGCTTTGTAATTTCTCCCTTTCAACCCGTTCGTTACTCAAGTTTGCATCTAGGTTCAAAAGTACGCCATGGAATTTAATGAAGTAATATTCCTAACATAAAATTACTGGCTTCTCTGAAAGTTGGAGCGCGGAAACAAAAACTGCGCAGAACATATTTTTAATAGGATTTATAGTAGCACTGTACTCATTGTATTATTAATGTAGTTATTTAACGTCCCCATTGAAAAAACTATTTATAAAGTAATTTCCACACACATATACGCAATTTTTCTGAAACGAAATGAAATATTCTGTGAGACTGATCATCTCCTATACTAAAATAATAATTTTTATATTTTACTTCTCTGCAAGATTTCGCGCATTTCAAATTTTGACTACGTAAAAATTCGCAAAATGTGAATTCAGATTTTACATTAATACATGTTAAAATTATTACATGCCGAAAAATTCACCTAAGTTGTAATACGCTATAATGATATTATAATTGAAGGTGCATCAATGAATAGAATAATACGTAACGCGCTTGTTATTTCGCATTTATGAGCATTAATTACGAGTAGGCGCGGTGTTCCGGTCGTTGGATTAATATGAATTAAATCGGAAGAGAATGGCTGAAACAAAGTTTCGTAACGAGTAGATTCGGTCGATATGCGAACACATTTCGACGACCCGCGATGCACCGAGAGGGGCCACGGATCGAGCCGTGGTGCCGTAGGTTTGCACGGAGTAATTAGTAAGCTTTCGACATCATTAGCTCGGGCTTTGATGCGGTCTAGTATCCCAACTCCTCCGCTTTCCTGTTTCAGAATTATTCTCGCCAGGATTGCTGTATATACCCTCGCCTGATGTAGTCGTTCCCGACTACATCACCTCCCCCCCCCCCGAACTACCCCTCCCCCTTTTCATTACAATGCAGCCTTGATACTATCGCGCAGGACGTCCAGCTCCGGCCCTACATGTCGTGCTCATCGCATGTGCAAATGCTAATACAGGCGATGATGGCGACGGCCGCGTGTTGGTCGTACGTCCGCTATATAACTGTAAACGGATGTAACAACGGGCGTAACTCTTTCCATGAATCCCCTTTCTATCGCCGGTAATATATTAAATCCACGATAACATGACCTACTTATTTCACGCACGACACTCAAGAATAATTAGCAATTAGCAGATACGGATTTGAGATTACGCTCTTAAATGTTCTCTCAGAGCGCGATGGTATAATGCATATATAATAATCTGGATTACGCCCCGTGGTATCCGTCATTTACGTTATGGATGTCTGTCATTAATCGCGCAAATCCCTCTTTCAAAATAATATTATGCCACAGTAATAACTACATCGGCTTAAAATACGAACGGCATAATTGCCTCTACGTGTGTAATGGTGAATTATTAATATGAATTACTATCCATTACCATATCTATTAGGGACAAACCAGAATGCACGTTTAAAATCATTTATATCATTTACACGCATTCGTGAAATTATTCCAATTCGAGCACTTCACCTGACTTTTTAGGAAAAACGAAGTCTTTTATTTGCTTAAAATACGCACTATGATAATCGACCTTTATTTTTTTTCAAACGCCTTAAAAAATTATTATTAGACGTAATAATATTAAAAACTTCAACGTATAATATTTCGGATAATGATTTGCGAAATAAATTTGTTTCTGATGTCTTTAAGTATTTCAAATCATGAATTAATTCTTGCTATTAATTTCATTATTTTAATTTAGAAAAACTAATAACTTTAACAATTGAATAGAAGTTACTAATACATGAAGCTGGGCAATATATAAAATAAGATGTAAATGGAGTATTGATCCTTACCATCCGTCTGCTCTGGTCAAGGTGAATCCAAAGCGCGAGTCCCTGTCCACGGACACTCTGATGCCTACTATTCCGAGTCCTTGTTCGGTAACAACTTGGCCTCGCATCACCGCAACTCGACTGTTACAAATTACAGATATATCGGGGTCCACCGAGGCGGGGGATCGTTTCGTCGACCCATTAATCCGCGAAATGCTGATTTAAAACGAAGCATTCTCACAATTTACATCTGTCTACGATCGGAATGCAATTTCGATCGGTCCGCGCGTGTCGAAGCGAGAGTAGGTAGAATTTTGGAAAAATCATTTGGATTTTCACAGCGTTCGCGTCCGGAACATTCGTTCGTAACTTAAATACGAATGTATCGAAATTAAGTTTTCGGAATATCCAATCACAGTTATCATTTCAGAGCTTTCGATCTTCAAATAAATGCTTCAGCAATTTTAGATTTAATTATTTTCGTGTAATCATGGATACACTTTACATTTTCATAAGATTCCGAAGTTATATAGGTTCGAATTATGTCACGATTCAATTTTCCGCGATCCCACCGCGAACAACGGCGGCCACCGTTAATACCCACTTAGTGCCCGCCTAATTAACGGTAATGCGATCGTACTACTCGGTCGGTCGGTGCACGACCGGTGTCTTTACGCGGGCGCGGACGCGAGCAATCGATTTTGCCTGTTAAATCAGCTTCCGCGGTCAACGGTTCAATGCGATCCAATATTCTCACTTCGCTGCCAATACAATCCGCAACTCCATTCGGCCGACATTCGACGGCCGCGTTGCCACGTACAAGGGAAGCTAATGCCTCTGGCTGAATCGAGGAGCGATACAAATTGATTTTACAAATAGAACAATGCCGCGTAGGCGAGGGGCGGGTGGCGGAACGGGGATGGGGGGGAGGAGGGCACACGGGGTCGTGGGGGGGTTGGACGGCGGGGGCAGCGGAACACGCGCAGTGCGTCGACGATGCATTTGTGCTCGCGAAAATCAGCATTCGCGGTGGTGGCGATGGCAGCGAGGCGGGAACATTCTTCTCGGCACTGACTTTCAGGATTTTCAGAGACCAGAAAAAAGGGTGGAGAAAAAAAGAAGAGAAAAAAAAAGAAGACATAATACTTCGTCCCGAAGCCAGGATGGACGGGGGAGGGCAGGGACGGAGGGAGGGGGGAAATTCGTAGGGAAATTATCTCGTGAGAGAGTAAAAGGCATGCAGTCATGTTATATAGATACGTAGTAGGCGTGAGATATGTAATATGTAATATAATAATAGACGTATCATATGAACTTTTCATGTGAACGGAACTGGAGAGGGGGATATGGCGAGAGAGAATGGATGGTACGAGAGACCAGGGAGGCTGGTCTCTCGGCGAGAGAAAGTTGGAATGTTTGAAGCTGAATATTTTAAGCGATTCGTGTAGTGCTGAATATAATGAGGTTTCGATGTATATAGGTACGTAGATAATATATATATTATGTATATAAGAGATAGTCGCATGTGTGTATGTAGCTTGTTACACCACCCGTTGGGTAACGAATGTAACGCGGCACGTGCGACATGAGCTACGATCCCCCGCGCCGTGTAACAAGCTACATATACCCGTTTATATGCATTCGGTATGTAGATATATATATATATATAGATATATATATTTATCAGTCTCTAAGGGATTGCGTATGGGGGCATATTCGTTCTTGGAGGATCACGCGTGTCCCCAACGCTGGCGCGCGATGTCGATGGTCATCGGATCGTCACCTAATATAGGACCATCGATCGTTTCCAATTGGGATTATCGAGTTTGCCGATTTCACGGAAGCTCAGGGATCGAAACCGGGATTATTTCAACGAGGTCAGTTTCTGCCGTTAGGTAAAAGTGCGCGCCGGATATAGCGACGGTTCCGTTAATTTCTTACAAACAGCTGAAGCAACGCCGATATTTTATCCAAGCTAGTAATAGCCTTCTGAATAATTACTTGTGTGACAAAAAAAAAAATGAAGAAAAATTCCTTGTATAATGCAATAATATTCGCGATGATCTTTATAAAAGTATGATTTTATTTGAGTTATTACACAGACTAGTAATATAAGGTAATAATAGTCAGACATATACTTTAATAATGTTCAATTATTTTTGCAGAAAGGAAGTAGTTGAATTGTACATAAGGTACTTAATGTACTTAAATTTTCAAATTATTAAAAGTTATCATACAGTTTTCTTTAACAGTTCATCTAGATCCTATTATATTCGTCGCCAATTGTCACTTTTCTGCCACTGCGTGAATAGATGCGGATACGCATTTCCGCGCATACATGCGAAGAAAGAAAATGCAATAAAATCTCTGTCGGGCAATGCCGCCGGTTTCGATCACTGATCGTGCCTTCGTTTCGAGTGGCTTGGAGATCAAACTGTGCCGGGGAGGCGGGCGCTGATCCTCCAAGTGCGAGCATAGCAAGGTGGCAGGCACAGTCGTCACTACTGTACGTCCAAACCCATAGTGAATGATAAACAGAAAAAGAAAAACGGATGATGCTCGAATGCGCCGAGATCTCTAAAGGCAGTCGTAGTCAACCTATATGCAAATAACGAAAGAAGAGAATGTATACACGCGCGACGCGTACCTAACGCCGTTAGGAATTATTAATCTAGCTTATTCTTATTCTTTTGCGTTATTCTTTTCTCTTTTCTTTATTTTTTCTTTCTTTTCCGCCGAATTTTACGAGCGAATAAATTCATCGAATGAACTCATTCTCCTTTTCTGTCCTTGCGTGAGTCTTTCTCTCGGTTTATCAGGTCTTTTCTCTTTTCTCTCTTTCCTCTCGCCTCTCTTCCGTCGTTCTCGCGCGAACGAGGACGTCGAGGACCGATCTCGGAGAAGTACCAAGACGCACGAGAGACCGCGAATATTTTCAGTTGAAATAATCTCAGCGGAATTAACAAACGTTCGTCGTTTTTCAGTAAGTACTCCGCGCCAGAAAGAAGCATCGTTAAGTTAAGTAAAGCGGGAATCTTGGGGGAGGGGGTAGACGGACGAGGGGGGTGGAGCTCGGGATTGGCCAGGTTTGGGTGTGATTCTTCTTCGGTGGGTTTCGATTTCCTCGGATATATCGGATAAAGACAGACACAGGGCGTTGGTGTCGGGTCAATTGGCACATTTTAGACAGGTGATAATAGACGCAGACAAGGGACAAGGAGAGACGGTCCTTTGGGGTCCTTCATCATAAACCGTACGGTGCCGATTTAGCAATACTTGCCGATCCGTCGATAGAACAGAAAGCGAATATGTACACTTGTTGAGTTATTATCTCGTGTTCGTATCGTAATGTATATTATATATATATATATAATAATATATATGATAGAAAAAGGAACGATATAATAAAAAAAGAACGCAACAGAGTCGTTCACGCAAGAGGCGCGCAATAAGGTCAGCGTTCGTGTAAAATGCTAGGACGTTCACTATAAGACAAGTTCGACAGGATGGTACATAAAGTGCAAGCCTGGCAAACACAAACAACACAAGACCAGGGGGGTTTTTCGTAAGTATACGACTCGTAACATACTATTATGTATATCAGTCATATGGCTAACGCATCTAAGGGACAAGAAGACAAGACATAACAGAAAGGGGAAGACAACAATCTGACGACATATCACAGATAACACAGAGACAATTCGTACGGTTGGCTTTAATGTATACGTGAAGAGCTCTTGCCCATGGACGGACGCTCGGATGATGCGTACAAGCGTTATATGTATATTCATAAGCGAGATAAATGATACATAACTAACGAGATTCTCTGTATATCGTAATAAAAGGGAAGCGGCATATAGATTCTTGAGGATTAGATAGTATAGTTATTTACAGAACCGTTCCCGTTTCCTTTTTTTCTGCATGATTAAACTTCGCCCTGGATCTATTTCCGACGTGGATTTTACACAAAACAAGAGAGAGTGTTCCACAAAAAAGGATTTTAAAAAAGTAGGTTACCGAATATTTGTTGTAAACTCGATATCAATACCACGGAGGATTGTTTCTCGTTCGTATGTTTTTTCGAAGTCCATGGCGTTTTTATTGCGAACAACATGTATTCGACTATTTTTATAAAAATATAGACGGAAACCCCGACGAGAGAGAGAGACGCGCGGCGCTACCTCGAGCGGGATAAACCGCTGCAAAAACCGTCGACGACTCATCTCCTGTACGTATCAACGCGAGCGTGGCCATGGGGCGCAAAAGTGAATAAAGACAGATAGGTTAGACAGGTAGATAGAGGCTGTGAGAGAAAGAGAGATAGATAGAGAAAGAGAAAGAAAGAAAGAGAAAGAGAGAGAGAAAGAGAAAGAGAGCGGACGAAGTAGAACGGGGGGTGGTGGTGTCGGATGAAAGAGATGAGAGACAAATAAGCAAAGTGTGATCAAACATTGGCGAAACGCAAATATTCGTAATAATATGAGAAATGATAACAGGCTGTTATATGGACGGCGTAAAAACAAGGAATGGCAGAAAAGAAAGTGACAGAGAGAGAGAAACGAAACGTAGGAAAGTAAATGACAGTGTTAGGCAGGCTAAAAGGTTCGATATATAAATACATAAGTGTTACATATTAATGGGTCATACGAAAGACATGTAAGATGAATGTACGAGCGAAACGAGCAATAGATGATACTTTGTTCTTTCTTTTTTTTTTCTTTAAATTCTTTTGGATAATGAACGATTAGCGAGAGCTTGAGCTGCAACTTACCGCGGTGTAAAGGAACTCCAGAACGTACTACGTGTGGGAAAAACCAACGAGAAGAAAGGGCGTTACCACGGTCACAGAACCCGCGTTTGCGGGCAAAAAACGGAGGCGCGTGCGCAGCATTGCGCGAGCAATCGTTTTCTCTCGAGCAATTGCCTTTCCGAACGGCAATTTTTCTACTTATTATTGCGAGCGCGATCGCGTGGCGTCTCCGAACCACCGAACGGGCGCGTTTCAAAACTTTACAATCCGCCGCGATCTTCGGCCGCGAACCGAGCGGCGCGCGCCCGGCCTTCTTTCCGTCACCCGGCTCCGTTCCGGCTGGACCGGCACGGAGACCCCGCGAGTGCTCCTCGCAATGTTCCGCACGCCATTACAGAAACAATAGACGTAGACACACACTAATCAAGCGTACCCATCACACACGCGATCCTTCCAGTCACGCAACATGAACGCAGTCACTCTCGGACTCATTCAACATAGAGTGGTATACAGTGTGACAGACACAAGTTGGAAACTACGCAACGCATACACATATGTATATATAATGATGTATATATATATATAGGGCCCAGAGAAAATGAATGACCAAATGACCGGTCGTATGTTAATACACACGGCGTCATTTCGACCGGGGATGGTGAACCCCCATGACGCCAACCCTTAGCGCGAGTACCCCGAACAGAACGACCGAGGGAAACTCTTATCAGTTCGGTCGTAACCCAGGGTCGAAAGGATCGTCCCGGACCGACAACGAGAAGGAGATTCCATCGGCGTCGATCTAGGGCCCGGGCTGAGGGACGATTCTCGAATATTGATTACCGCTGTCCGAGCAACCTCAATGCCAGTCTGAATACCTGATTCACGGCGGAGCGCTTGTATCCGCGAGCATCTTTCTCGTTTGGAGCGAGCGCGCTCTAAAAATCGTGTTAACGCAAATAGCATCTCGAAGGAGATACGAGAATTCTGGATAGGGGAAAAAGTAACGTCGAAATATTCGTGAAGCTCACAAACTTTAAAGACGAATGATGGACATCTTGATAATTCTTCATTTAAATCAATGAGCGTTTAAATATCAATAAAAAACTGTAATATAGCGTTATTAATAATCCAGTACAGATTTCAGTAGAGATTTGTTATTTAAGTTTAGTTGAATTGAGAGATAATTAACACGGAATACACCCCATTGTTAAAATTTTCAAACGAGTGCAAGTGTTGGCAGCAAGTATACTCGGAACGAGCAATCGATATTCCAGACGATATTACGAGACGAGTGGACAATGGACAAAAAACAATGCTCTAAATGCTCGACTTCTGGAAGAGTCTTTGGCGACAACATGGACCTTATTATACGCACCGGATATACAAAGTTTTCACGGAGTAAAAAGAAAGGAGACGGTACGAGAAATTTCAAACTTGTGTCTACCATATCTAGAAATACTTTTACGAGTGGGCGAGTCACGGCGCTTGTGCACTTTTGACATCGATAGCTCTCTGCACAGACTTTCTCATAGATAATTGCAAATTCTCGTTAAGGGAGTTTTGATATCCGCCTGTCTGACTCAACCATTCGTACGCTTTATCTATCAACTCCTTCCTCGTATAATCGCTTAACGAATGGCCAGATTAGATTGGTGTCGGAAAGCAATTTTGAAAATTGTATCTCTGTCCTTCCTTATATATGTTAGTTATATTGCGCGCAGGCCGAGTATATACTGTTTATACTTTACTGACGATAACGAACAGTGCCTAGAGTACATTAACGCGTGAGAAATGAATTAACTAATAATAAGGTAATACAAAAGCAAGTCTCTAGCATATTTTCTCGTTATGCAGACTTTCGTCATTCAGTCCGTAGGCAGAACGGAGCCTTTTTTTTCGGTCTTCGGCTGTAGGGTGATTGGTAATCTGGTGGTGGTAAAGGGCTACACACAGAGGATAAACACTAGACAAAATACACGATACCTCCGAAGTGCCGTCGCGGCTTCTTCCAGCTGAGCGGCATACATATCGATAATCACTTCTTCAATGCCGAACAAAGGAAGATGGAAAAAAAATTTGATCTTGTGAAAAAATTCTTATATGTCTTAATATAAACTTTTGAAAATTACATTTAGCTTATCTTCTTTAAATCTCTTCTATCATATTTTGCTTAGAATAGTATTTTAATTGATTTCACGTGAAATTTGATTCTACATATTCGTGAATTATTAAATTTGATATATTGCAGTATCTTATGTAAAGTTTGAGTTTTAATGACGAATTTTTTTTAAACTAGCAATAAATAATATTCTCTTCTCTCCTTAATGACTGTATAAAAATAAAGATAAATCTCATTGATATAATATGCATTTTTTTATTTATTATAGCCCTTGTTAATAACTGTAATTAAAAATATGCATTTAAAAGTTTTATATCGCGAATGCGGGGATTAATTAACGGAAAACCTTCGATTGGCAATGGTTCCGAAGTAATCATCGATATAATTGGCATTCGGAGGGGGGAAAGGGGTGAAACACTAGGAAAGGATGGTTAGGGGGTTGCAGGGTGTCACCCACCGGGGGCTCTCCTGATATTTCAGCTGTTACGGATGTGGATTCATGACGATTCGATCAAATTTTTGTGGCGTTCAATGGCCGCTCACGATGGGGGAAACATCAATTTAATAAATTAATTAAATTAAATAATTGATCGCAGTATTCTTCATTTAAATAATATTTACGACATATAACGTCCGTTCGCGACCAATAGTTTCGACATGTGACATGTTTGATCAACGAAATAATTTATATCGTGCTGCAAAATTAAATAAAACAACGATATCGATAAGATTACAACGATTTCTGAATTTATAAACTGTTTTAGCCCACCATTTTTGCGACTAAGTTTTGTTTATTAACAATTTATAACGCAGAGCAGAAATATACAGATTCTTCCGTAATATCAAATTTTGTGTACCGATAATATTTTGCACGGCTTGTAGTGCATCCGCATTAAACGTATATATTTCACAAACAAAATATATGTTACGCCTCCACAATAAATTAAAAACAAGTTATACGTGTTCAAAAGCTGAAAATATATTTTAATTAACTTTGTCCCCGTCCATGTGAAATTATTGGTGCGCATCCATCGTGGCACGCATATGCAATATGTGTATGCATATACACATATATACACGTGAAAGAGAAAGATATATTAAATAAATATGAGAAAGTATGTACCCCATCGTAAACCGTTACCACAGATTGAAACGCGTAAGTTACATAATAATATTCATAACTCGATAACCGCGTGCAGCGTGACGCGATATATATTGTATTTTCGCACATTACATTTGTCAAGTCCTGTAAACTGCAATTTTGACATTAAATAACGCTTTTTGTAGGACGTTCACTGCATACGTCGAAGACAAATTCACGGCGTGCCGTACCGAAAGGAACGAAAGTGCTCAACCAAACACGATATGATACGCGTGTTTCTGGCTAACGATAAAAACCGAGAAAAGTAATGCGCGGCGGCATGAAAGTCGTAAAAAGGCCAAACTATGACACACGCAGCTATGCTATTTTATCTTCATTAAATGTCATATGTGTAACGTTTACGATCGACCGAGTCGTTGCCCGTGTTTACGTTCTTCTAAAGCATTAATGCAAAAATAAAATGAGAGAGAAATATCCGCGTGTGGTGTGTCGCGCGGAAAATCTGCCAGAAATTTTGTTGTGATTAAATGGCGAGTTCTCGGTCGTTCGAACACGTCACTCTCGCTTATCTTAATATGAAAGTAAGAGACTAAGCGAATTCTAATTCGAATTTTAATCCGTCCGGGTGGAAATGATCGATCTTACCTTTCCGTGTACTCGTCCATGTGGGCGTAGCTCTGTACGCTGTTCTCCTCGACGAGGAACTTCACCCGCTGATAGAAGGACGCTGTGACGCTAGGCGGTTGTTTTCGAAGGAGAACGTCCACGGGATTATTACTAGCAAGGCACATGATATGTTCTGAACAAGTTTCGTGCGAGCAGCACTCGCTGTCAGAGCAGTCCATCATGCCATCTGAGAAAGACAATCTATTAGATATCCTCTTCAACGCGTTTCGCGCTCAATGAGATTCCATTTTTTTCGACGAGCCTTTTCTCTTTGCATCTTTATATTTTTATAAGCTTGAAGATTAGATAAGAATAATCAAAATTGTGATTTGGCATTTTGTATTCACGCTGTGTTACATTTTAACGCTACGTTGAACGCAATTAATATTTTACTGCCATATAACAATACTATCTCAGTAAATTCCCCCTTTTGCCCGACTTCGCAAGAATAATATCCATTAGATACAGATGAGCAATAGTATTTCATTAATCAACGTTGATTTAATGCCGGGTTACTTTGAGGACTCACCTTCGTCATTGTCAACGTAATCATTACATTCCAATTCGAGTCGTATGCTGCAATCTCTACCGGCCCACCCGGTCGAACATTCGCAACTGTATTCGCCGTCCTGCAGGGTGCACAATCCGTGGCGGCTGCATCCATTCTCGCATCCGGCTATTAAAGAGAGAAAAACCATTTTTCAATAATTGCAGTCGACTAATCGATTATTGAAAAATGATATTACGCCGTCTCGTATATCGGGAAACTTATTATCGACGGCGAAAAATATATGCTCGAGCAAGGTAAAGCACCGAATTTATTACGCGAATATAATCTCCTGTTTTATACGTACGTAATGTGCAGTGCCTTCCGTTCCACCCTTGGCTGCACACGCAGGTCCCATTCTTGCACTGACCATGCTCGGCGCAACGCGAGTCGCACGGTTTTTGATCGCATTTCGTGCCGGTCCAGTCATCGTGGCATCTGTAAACCAGGTATGTGCCTTCGGATCTTACAGAGCGCGTATAAACAAACTCACAAACGACTTTTCACTTAACAATCGGAATTATGAAATAAAAACAGCGAGTATAAAGGGAAATAATACGATTTTGTTACGTTAATCGCATCGTACTTCATGGGTACCCGATACGCAAGTGCTTCTAACAGGATTCGTTATGTTAAACGGCGGTATCGCCGAACGTAAAATAATTTCTCGCCGTTTATACCGGCTGCAATAAAAAATGCGAGTTTGAACCGAGTTCCGAAGTTGTTCTGCCGTAGTGAGGAACTTTTTGCACTTAGAGCCTCTTTTACGCCAACTCTCGGGGATGGAACAGGGGAAAGCGGCGGGGGAGAGGGGGAGGGGGGGTGGTAGACGAGAGGCGTCAGCTTTAGAATATGAGAAAGGAGATCCTCTCCCGCGTCCTTGATTCTGACAAAGGAAAGTGGGAAGGGACGAGGACGGTCCTTCGAGTTGTGATAAGTTGGCGCCTCGTAAGACAGAGCCTTTTTCTCGCAATTTTTCACCTTTTTAGCCTCAACTTTTGTGCCCGCGATCCCGGCGAGCAATTTACTCATTTTTAGGCCATTCTTCGCCCACATCTATCCCACAATATTTCAATGTCCCGACAAAACGTTACTCCTCTTTCTCTTTCCCTCTCGCGCGCGAGCGCGGATTACTATTAAATGCCCCCGCGACGTGCCTTCCTCGCGCGCGTTCGCCCGTTGAAAACTTTACGACGTTTCTCACTCTTCGACACGCGGCATTACCCGGTAATCTATTCCAGTCGTAAAAGTTGCAAAAAGCTCGCACGTCACACTCTATGAAGCACAGAGAGCGCCCGCGTAAATGGCCGTCACGTCCGCACAATTCCGCAAATCTCCCGCATTAAACAATGATCTCGCGCGGAGGTGCGGGCGTCATATGGGGGATAGAGAGAAACGAAATCGAGGTCGCATGGAATTTCTTTAATCCTCGCGAGAAAAACGACCTAGGCATTGAGACACGCGTCACTTTCCTCGTTCAATCCCGGGGAGAGAGAGAAAGAGAAAGAGAGAGCGAGAGCGGCCGTTGGCTGGTGCACCGTTGGTTGCGCCAGCGGGTAACCCAATTCCGGAATCCCGGTCGCAATTCACGTCCGCGGAGGGCCCGTAAAGGACAACGATATAGAAAGGACGATGTGTACGTGCAAGTGCTGCGCGCATCGTGTGTGTGTTATACTGACTTGCAGCGGCCCTGCTCGCAGGATCCGTGAAGTCCGCAGTCCAGACCGCAGCTCGGCTGCGAGCAATCGACCCCGGTCCAATGTTCCTCGCAGACGCAGGCCGCGGATTCGAGGTCGTACGTGCCGTGATCGGAGCAGCCGGGCAGGCACTGGTACACCTGCTGATCGACCTGATTGCACCGCTCGCCCTGCCAGCCGGCCTTGCAGTAACACTTGCCGGAGACACAGGCGCCGTGGCCGCTGCAGTTCGGGTCGGAGCAGTCGGCTGAAAGTTTGCGAGAGAGAAACGGATCGAGCGCGATATAGCTTTAGATCAGAAACTATCGCGTTTTTACGGTTCGGCGCGACCTGGACGCCTCTCGCTAAAGGCTAAACTTCCCCCCCGGTTCACGCGGGGTGAGGCGCATCCCCGTCAGTTATCAGAGCCTCCCCCCCGTCTTCCCTCGCCCGTCACGCCCGGGCGCCGCTGATTGCATCCATGGCGTGGACGAATGGACCAACTTTTTAAATTATGGCATCGGAACAATTGCATTATTCCCGCGGATCCCACCTGCCCCGGGGAAATTATGAAACTTAATTCCAGTGCGTCCTCGGCGCAGCAGCGGCGGTGGCGGCGGCGGTGGCGGCGGCGGCGGCGGCGCCGTCGCGGGCCACGTCGTCGTTCGCGTTCGTTGTGCCGCGTTAGTTATATGTATATACACGGGACGCGAGAGATGAGAGAAATTCCTGGCGGATTCTTCTTGCATTATGTATGCGCGACGTTGATCGAACGGGATCATAGATTTGTTCGTTTTCATTAGGACCTGGCAGGTGCGTTCGCGCGCCGCCGCGCCGTGAAACGCGCGGAAACACGGAACGCGGTAAATTGGGCGTTGAAGTATGATACCATTAAGCGTATTTAATGGTACATACAGAATGTTTCTTCGGAACGAACTCTCTTCGGTAAAAATGCTGAGACATCAATTTCTAAGCCGTGAACGACAAGAGAAACGGCAGTTTTTAACGAATTAAAGATAACTCGGAATAAGTGGCGAAAATGAATCTTTCAGAAATTGAATAAAGCGCATCATGAAATGAAGCATAAAACAAATAAATGTATGTATCATATCGTTAAAAAAATATAAGATATAAACAATTAATAATAATGCGAAAAACACGACCGTTATGATATATACAATCAATTAGAGAGAAAAACGCCATTTATGGTCCGGACTAGGTTTTGGTAGTCTAAAGGGCCCCGCACAATGAAAAATATAAGGAACAGATATTAGCGATTAGAAATAAAAAATCAGGAATAAAGCTGGTGTAGTATTAATACACGGCTTCCGATAGGTTAAAAATCTGTTGCCTGTGTTATTCCCTGTTTCTGTTGCCTGTATTTTTCATCGTACATTCAACTTTATTTTTGATCCTTTAGTCCTAATCGCTAATATCTGTTCTTTGTTCCTTATATTTTTCATTGTGCGGAGGCCCTAATAATAACTGTGTAAACTTTATTTCAGGTTTGAACTCTGGCTGAGGTGATATTTTTCGCAATAAATTCTTTACAGTGATTTAATAAGGATGGTTATTATCATCTAAATTTAAAAAGATTATTATTTATTGACTCAAATATGTAGATTTACCGTTTCAACTAAGTGTGTGTGAAAGATCGACAAAAAATCGGCGCGCAGTTTACTAAGTTTGGAAAAAAGTATATAAAATTCATACAATGTTATTATTAGATCACCAACATCCAATCCGGACCATAAATAGCGTTTTTCTTACTAATTGATAACATAAAATATAAGTAAGATCGCAATTGTTTTTAAAGGCAAGTTTTTTAAAGAAATAACTTGTCTCTCGATTCGGATTCTTATTCGCCAGTTAGTTCTCATTTGCCGTCGTGTCGCGACTAATGCAAATCCGTTTCCGCTCGACGAATTTATCGTTCTTACGATTGGAGCTGACATATTCCACTGACGTGGAACTAATACCGTTTTCGTCTGCGTTTAGGAAAAAGCGACGGGCGAGCGTATCTCTAACGAGGACCGTGAGAATGTCAGAGACGAAGTGTCTCGTTCCCGGCGAATAATCTCGTCATTTATATCGTACGTCACTCAGTCCCCGGAAATTCCGGGGTGTGCGAAATTATAACGTATCGAACGCAGCTGCGTGCCGCGTGCGTGCGCGCGCGCGCGTGTGTATTATTCAAATTCCCGCGAAACAATACGAAACTAATTGTCGCACCGAATTGGCATGGCTTGACCCATATGTAAATTTGGAGAACTCAGCGTGCATTAATTATAGGTTGTACACAGGTCGGGCTGTGTTCTCCACCGACGGGGACTCTGCATTACTAATATCTTGAATCTCCCCGGATAGAGGGCCAGGACGTACGCCTGAATTATGGGAAAATTAATGGTGCTGTGACAAACATGAAAAAATAACGATCCGAGGCAGAAATAGATGTTCGAGGTAAACGTTTTCCGTCACCCGTGACTTTCCGCTAAGCCGTTTTTAAGGCTGAAATATGGGTCGTGATATCGCGCGCCGCGCATTTGCAATGCAACGTCATCGCTCGCGAATCGTTCTCGGATAATCTTTTCAAACCGGTCCGCCGGTATCGTCAATTTTTCCCCCCTTTTTTCTCACATCCGCGTAAGGAAATATTATAAATCCTAATTTAGAATAACTCGCAAATAACTCGCCTCTAAATTTTAGTTTATCGCTAACTTACGTTCGTCGCAAAAGGCGCCCTTCCAGCCGGGATTACAGACGCAGGATCCTCTGACGCACTGGCCATGCTGATTGCAATCAGGAACTTGGCAGTCACCTAACGGTATGTCGCACTCCGCGCCCTTCCAGCCCTCCTCGCAGTGGCACATACCACCGCCGTATTGTCCGTGAGAAGAACACAAAACTGGGCATACGCTTTTGCTGCAATCAGCACCCTGGAAGTTTCGTCTCCTTAGTCTCTGATCTCTTCGGGTGATACACAGTCAGATAATTTCAGAATAATTGCGCAAACACGTACCTGATATCCGTCTATACAATCGCACTTGCCGAGGTAGCACGATCCACGTCCGGAGCAGTCATTCGGACACGTGGTGGAGACACCTTCGGCTTCCGTCACGACCAGAGTAACCTTGTAAGGCTGCAACTCGTCGTTGTACACGGACAGGAACCAGTCGCCGGTGTCGAAGTACTGCAGCAGACTGACGTTGACCATCAGCGGCTCCACGATGGTCCTCTTGATGAGCACGTGTTGATAGGACGCGGCCGGCTGCGCCGCGCGTTCCACGCGAACGTCCTGCGGGCTGCTGGACTGCATAAAACTGACCGCCTCCGCGGTGATGTCCCTCTTCAGCCTGTGGACCACCCTACCACCCTTGACGAACTCCACGAAATCGTATTGCGTGACGCTGGGCGCGACGTTCCGCCTGCCGTACACCGCGAAATTCGCGCCCCACGGCAGGGTCAGGTTAAGCCTAATGAACGCCGGCTGCTTGTTGCGAAACTCCGTGTTCCAGAAGTGATACGGCTGAATAACGGCGGAGTGCGCGACGTTGTAGGCCTGTAGCTCGAGCACGGCCGGCCATTGCTGCGCCGATTGCTGGATCTGCGGGTCGCTCTGTTGATCACCGGCGCTGTCCGCGGCGCTCGAATGCTCCGCCGTGCTCGTCGGCAGGGATTCTGCGAGGGAGAGACGCGAAGATGGTGACACATTCGATAACATAAGTAGCACAAGTCGTTAAGAAAGTCGCGAGGTAAATAAAATATTGTCTAGCATAAAATTTAGTGATATCTTTTTATGAAAAAAGAAAAAGTCTCTTATTTGTCTGACTTATACCGCACTGCACGACGACCTGTGCATTTCAGTTGCAACATAGTAAACTGTATGATGTGTAAATTTGATGAGTGAACAATTAAGAAAAAAAGATTATATTTTTATTTTTAAACGTATTATTTTTGGAAAAAGATATAAAAAGAATATTATCAAACGTTTATTTTAAGCCGAGCAGAGCTCACGCTCACGATCTTTTTATCGTGGCTTTTTATTGCTCCATATTCCTCGGTTTATTTCCATATCAAGTGCGTCAAATGTACCTCAATTGTTCAATTATCTTTCGGAATTGGTACAGCTCACAGTGTGAAATCTTTACAGTGAGTGACATTTGGATGCGCGGCGATATATAGTCCTCGCTAAAGATATTATATTGATGAAACGTTCATCCACTCGCGCTTCCCAAAAGCAATTAGCGTATGACGCTGTACGCGAGAGTATTTACATCATGCAGAGTAGATGCAAATTAATACCGCTCGATATTTACCTTCTGTGGGGATCTGCGTGGATATCGAGTCGTGGATGTGTGCGTTTTCGTGAGTGACAGCTTTGATATCTTGAACCAGAATGCAGTTAGTGCTGTCTATCGGGCGCATAGAGCTCACTGCTGGAAAGTAAACAAAGGGCATTCGTTTTAGGAATAAAAGAAAGGATGAAACTCCACCGCGTGCGCGCGGACATGGCTCACGCGCAATCGCGCGTAGACACCAATGTTATATTTGCAACGTACGACTGGTATACTAGAGGGTGAAATGGCATTGCCCGCGCGCGACGCTTTTATAGCGTCAGGAATCAAGAACGGCTTTAGTCGAACGTCTGGCAGCGGCCTAATGGGTTCATAAATTTGGACAATCGCTTTCGAATTACGATGGCACACTAGATTTCCCCCATGACAACCCGACCTTCCTGCTCGAGTAACTTTTAAAGCAACGTATCCGTGTAATAAAGTTCGAGGTCTCACGGCTTGAATCACGGCTTGTATCGAGCGTACGATATTGCTTCATCAGATCAAGAATTCTGAAATGGCGCTATAATACCCTTGTATCATTTATATATATGGTATTCTTTTTATAAGTTCTAACAAAATAGCGTGACGAGCAATGATCAATTCGACGAGTCTAACTAATATAGCCAATGACAAATGATTATGATGATTTAATATTTAGATGGAGACCCCTCAAAGACCAATTAATATCGGCCGATATGATCCGAGATCCAATTATGTTGATGCTATATCAGTAGTTATCTGGGAATTTCAGGTCATTTATATTAATGTTTTCTGAGCGATAAGTGCAAGTTCGTTGAATTTAAACGCCATGATAAATTTGGCAATAAAACCCTTATCCGTGGCGGGATATTGCGGTTTAATTAATTATCTGTCTCGTGCGCCACAAGCGCCACGAATTAATTACGCGGTTTAACGAGAGTTTTTAAAAAAGAGGCAGACCCGGGCCAACGCAACCCCCGCCTAACGACCTCTTGGCTTATCAACGCAACAAAACATCGATAACGCGTAATTGAATTCGCGTGTTATTGCCGCGCGGGTGATTTGACAAATCGCGATTCGCCGATACACTCGGCGCCGATATTTAATGGACGCGTTTTCGCGCCCCGCGATTTGTCGCATCGCGGATTGTACATAAGCTCTCTGTCGTGGTAATAGCACTCGTTATTGCGCATCGTTTCTAGTTGTAATTGCCATTGTGTGCTGTAATACATTGTTATTTTATTATATCCCCACAGCTTTTCCCCAAAGCACGCGGAAAAATACAGCGGTAAATAAAATGGAGACCAATATTTGGCTTTTGATAGCGAGAGAGATAGCGCGCAAACGCGTAAAAGTTTAAACTGAATAATTTAATAAATGCAGATTGTTCTAATTTTCCCCCCAATACTTGTCGCAACAACTTATCTTTGGCCATAGAAAGGTCTTCCGTGCAGACGATAGTCCTTGACAAGTTTCTTCGAGATAAAGAAGCTGCGCGATACGTGCGAGACGAGGGGTTACGCGTACACGTGAAAGTCTTCCGTGTGTGTACACAAGCGGGCGCATACACATAACGCACACATGTACACATGTACGCACGTCAGACCGGAGATAGGCGAAATGACCGGAAAAGAGCGACTATTCCTTCGGGATCGACGTTGCCTGGCCGCCATGTAACTATCGCTGAAATTGAGTTGCAGTGAACTGTGAATGACCTTATTTCGCGTATATGCCAGTCAGCGTGGCATCGTTTTCGTTCCCGCTTCACGTCGCTGCAACTCAGCAATCCAACTTTCCACATATCGCACACTCGATGTCTAAAAAAATCACGCAATAACTTCGATACACCACCAAACATTACAGAAAACGGGCCAATTATTTTATACATTGGAAATATGTAAATACGTGTAGTATGTACTGAAAATAAGTATTTTTTAATATTCGATACATAATACAGAGTCTTGCCTCAGCCTTTCTCAATTTATCTTACATAGACTTTATTTTAGCAACGCTTTAATATCGCAGCCGTTCTTAAAATATTTGACGTTGTAAATTATGAATATAGCGAATGCAAAATGAGCTTGCACTTGGGATCTCTGAGTAATTTAATCTACCGGCAGCTGCGACCTCTGAGACACGCTGTATGCTGTATGCTTAACCGTAAGGACAATACTCCGAAACGAAGTCATCTCAAAATCCAATATATGGATCGAGGGACTGCCAAGTTTTGATGATGAGCCACCGGAAATTTAAAATGGCCATAATGCGAGCGGTCGTTACACCACCAGTCTGCCTCCTTGCTTTCGCGGGGGGATGGAAAAGGCGAGCGCGACTGTGAAGGACAGCGGGCACGTTCACGGGGGGAGGAGGGAAGGGGGTGAAGGAAGGGGGAGGAGAGGGAGGGGCGCAAAGGAACAACTTTTTCAATTATATACCCCCGGATCGATAGAGCGATTCATTCCCGAGAATGATTCCCGGATTATCGTAGGATTATCCCGCCGCCACCCCGGCCGGTCCGTTCTACCGCCCACTTCCGCTCGTACGTTATAATGAAATGTTTACAATCGATCCGTCTACCCTTTCGTTCCGATCCGGCGAAGCGTGAGTCCAGACACGACAGCGTTATCGAGCTGCCTACAATGTCGTTATTATTGACGAGTTAACTATTAATGGCGCAGTAATAATGTTTTCTCGCGGACAGGAAACACAAGCGGATGAATCATATTACGGTTTTTTAACGACAAACATCCCATTAAAAATTGTTATTTCAACGTTGTGTCAACAGTTTTCAATCATAATTGAAGAATTTTTGCACGAGAGATCTGAAATGAATTCTGTACGATGGTCAAAGTCCATTTCGCGAACGTATTAAACTTTATCATCCGAAGATGCAGGGGCCAAGGGGATTTGACGGGAGAAGGAAGGGGCCGCATTGTGTTCCGCGAATTTGTACAGCATCTCCCCCCTCCCTCTTTAGTTCCTTTGTCGAGATATTCGCGATTGCAAATAATCTAAAAATTAAACGCTTATTACAAAAATAAATGAAAGACGCTTTCCATGATTTACAAATACACGCTTGTTGAAAATAATTACAAATGACAAACAAGATTATATAGCTTTACTCTCAGCTTCGGGACAGTTTGTCAAGAGGAATTAACGTGGCAACGGTTTCGTTGATGGTCATTTGTAAATGAAACCGTGGAAGAGGTCCGCGTCGGAAGTGGCTTGTCGCGAAACGATTTTAGCCCTATGAGGGCCACAAGCGAGCAAGCAAGCAAGCAAGCCGACATACGTCAAATTACCGAAAAGCAAGGTAACTCGCGTGCATGCAAAATTCGTGTGTTCCGGAGCGAGGTCGAGGGACGAAACGAGGAGGGAGGGTTCGCGCACACGGCTTCGTGAGTCTCGCAGCGTGTGCGTGTGCGCGCATATACCTATAGTCGCAGTGTGTGTGTGTGTGCGCTCGCGGCGAGAGAGGGTAGACGGACCTGCAACGACCGTAAAAGAGACGCGAGCGCGAGGGAGGACGGAGAGAGGTAACGCCGGAGCTGCGGGGTAGTTTGGATGCAGTAGCAAACAGGCAGATTGGATTCCAGACTCGATTTACTGGAATGCAGAAATAACAGCTGGCGAGTAGAGTCTCCTCGAGGCCGAGAATCGACTTTGCAGTCTCTACCATCTCCCCCCCCCTCTCTCTCTCTCTATCTCTCTCTCTTCCTGCGACACGCAGGACGGGAGGTGGAAGAAGAACATGGACGCCGAAGTCGGGGTGGACAGTTCCACCAGGAGAAGCGGAGGGGTGTTACATAGATTCGCGGAACACATTGCCCAGCTACTCGCATCCCTTCGTTCTCCCGTCAAACCCCCTTAGTCCCTGCGACTTTGGATGATGAAGTCTAATACGTTCGCAAGTCGGACCGTGATTATCGTACGGATTTTCGGATTTTTAGCGAAAATGCAAAAACACGATTTGCGTGAAGGCGGAAAGGGCGGAGAGGGAGGAAAGCAGGTTCCTTTCTGTTGCGCGCTGATAACAGGCAAGCATTAATTCCTCTAATCGGACTCGGCACCGAGTGGAGATGCAGCGATCTTCAGGCCCGTCCGCCGCGTATCTTCGGCCTCGCACCCCGTTGGCTCCTGCATTAGCATAACGGACCTGGTGGAGCCATTTTCCAAGACCTTTTTGCAGTAACGTGATAACCTAACGTGGTGTTCTTTCAACGTTGATCTTAACGACGCGGATCAACGAGGGGACGATTTGTCTTTCGTTTTCTTGCCGCGAAAGCTCGTTAATAGAGCCGGCTACCAACGGCAAGAATGTCGTCGTAGTGTTTAGCTTCAATAAGATTTCACGTTTACACACATCGCGCGGTTTTCGCCGCGTTGTTATTTATGCAGCAAAGTTTACCAATGTTAGCCGTAGGGCGTACCGAGGTAGTGCGCCGTTAGTTGCACGGATATCGATTTGTCGGGTAGGCCATTGCCCTGGGAAATTGCCCGATTCGTTTAGCAAAGACACGTACTTTTAAATTCTGACAATCTGTTTTCTCTCAGCAAATATAACAGAAAATTTGAAAATTTTGAAATCAATGATATAAACGTCAAAGGCACACACACACGCTGACGTGTTGTTGTTGTTGTTGTGTAAAGTACCTTTCTGCAGTGTCTCCTGCGACTCCCTGTTACTGTTATTAACGGATAGAAAGGCGTGGTATCGATTCATACACGAATGCGTTCACCCTTTTCCCCGACTCTGTGACGCGCTACGGTGTGTAGTTTCTCAACTACGAGTGTTACGGGTAAAACGCACCCCATGCCACGGGAACGCTTCCTCGCTATCGACGGGCAATATTTTTGCCTCTCCCTAACCGGATGGAGCCAACCACTCCGCGTTAAATGAACCATTACGCTGGCAATGTTACGTAGCTACGCTTCCTACAGAACATCCGGACTTCCGCCGTTAAACAGTATTTAATTTTCCCGAATACGGCTATATACATCGTTTGCACACGATCAAAGTGTTATTCTGTTCTACTGTTATGATTATAATAATAATTCAACAATAAGAGAACATAAATTTAAGATTAAAAGCGAAACAATTTTAGTAAGTGCAGGAAAATGTGTTTATAAGATGTTACATTTATATTTCCTTTTTATGTATATCATGTAAACATTCTTCTTTAACAGACAGCAGACATTGTGAAAATAATTTTTTTAATGCAGTATTTCGAAAATCTATAAAACAAAATGAATTCGGTAATAATCTCTTCGCAAGAAATGTTTCAACATAACATTTAAAATAAACCGGATTTTATAACTCAAAACTGCTTCTATCATTAGGAAACGTAGTGTTTAAAGGTCAATCGTAAAATAATATTGCTGCGGTAATATTACGTGCACCGACATTGCAAGAAAAATGTTAATGTATGCATAATGTGCGAACAAACGTAATATACAGCTGCATTGTATAATATTCCGAATAGGTTACTTTCTCTCTTTTTTTCGTAAGAATTTAATTAATTCTGCCGTCCTTTTTATTAATTTCATGCTTTGTTCATCTGACTCTGTTTTTGTGTTTATTAAATTTCGTGTATATTATCTAAACCGCGCGACCGCATAAAAAATTGTTATTACGGCACATCGAAAACGGAGCCTTTTTACAAATAAATTAGTTTGCCTCGCTCTTAACAATTTTTTTTTGTCTTTAGAAACCCGAGCGAAAATACGAATTTTACGTCCGCTAATATTTGTGAATCTCATTTAGTTATGATTTGCATGATTACGTGAAATTCGTCATGCCTTCACGCGGAATGTTATGGTGTCAGTCATATGTATAATCCCCCTCTGTGCGTACAGGGATTAGCATGGTGCAGTAATGCCGACGTTCCGATGGATTTTAGCATTAGGTGGGTTGGGTTAGTCGTAACCAGATTTGCAAGTTAATAATGAATTATTGTACCGTGAATTTCGGGTCAGCCAGCAATAGAATTGCGCGGACTATCCGCCGCCGGCTATGTTACGACTCGGACGTGCGCTCTGGGACTAATAAAAACGGTTCATTCAAATTTACATTGAGGCAAATATTATTTATGAAATGGCTGCATTAAATAGCTGTCCCTCATCCTCTTCGTGCATTACAGATATAGATCTGGTTATATCTTTATAGTTCAGCTTCAGTTCACATTAATCTAATCAGACTTTCATTCAATCTAAAATCGGCCGCGATATATTCGGCGTAGCGGAGCCGCACGATCGCGTTCGAAGCTTCGAAATAAAAGGTTTGTTGAGAGGGTTTAAGGCGACGATCACTTACCAGCAAAGTACGCCAGCATCGCCGTCAGCGCCACGGCCAAGAGGATCAGGGCGATCGAGAAGCATTTCCAGGAGCACCTGTGCTGACAACGTTTGTCGATGTGAAAGCGCGACGGCGAATACGGGGAGTAGTGCGGCACCGCTGCGGCACGAAGCGGAAAACCCGGCATCACCATAGCCTGGCCTTGCGCGCCTACTGTGGCGGTACCGCCATTTCCGGCGCCGCCTAAACCGCCGCCCAGTGAGCCCACCGTCACCTGCTGTTGCGGTGGCGGAAGCCTGAAACAACAAGAAATAACCGAGTGTTAGGATACGCGTCTTAGAGAGACGCGATGGAAGTAACGTTATATCGTGAAACCGCATGATTACGCTCCGCCGTAATATACACGTGTATATATGTGTTAAATTACGCAAGATGATACGTCTTAATCAGGTTACCTCGGGTCATCTCGACGAATCGATCGTCGCGATTAATACCTGCGCGAGATCGAATGATCGCCCGACGATGACAAATCGTCCGTGCGATTGCGAATCAGAATGGAGCCGAGACGTCGATTAGTATCTCCCATGTGTCTTGGTTACTGCTGATTATTAGTTAAATTCATGCCGATACTCGTCGGCATGTATCGGTGCGACGTCGGGGGTAATAAATGGGAGAGTTGACTGCGCGTACGCGCGGGCTCCGCTTGATCCGACGTCGCTCCGAGGGCGATACGCACCGGCGATAAATCGATGACCGGTATCTGTTCGGCGCACGTGTGCCAGGCGGAGGCGACGGCGATCGCGTCGTGGTACATAGACCATCGGGGCATCGGCAACGCGCGTCCGGGGATGCAGATAACGCCGTGCTTATAAAAGATGCAGATGCCGCCATTAAGCCCGACATAGCAGGCCGCGTGTGCGTGTGCCGTATATCGCCCGCACGAGACGCACGAAAACCAGCGGGCTTTTCGGGGAATGACGTTCGCGCGGGGGTGACCGGCGAGGTTCAGGCCCTAGCCGTCGGACCCGTGTCAAGGATTTTATTTTCATCATCGACGATATTTATCTTCGTCCCCCTCGTCGCGAGGCACCGGGATAAGCGTGGCCAATAGCCGGACCGGATGAGAGGCCAACGTCGAAACAGGGATTTAATATGGTGCCTAGGATAAATATAGTTTTCCGATAATCATGCGGACTCATGAATAGCATTATGCGCGCGCCGCGGCTGAAATCCCGTAAGAATAACTCGATTGACAGTACGTCTCTGGTAGGGACGAGAGGATAGAGGGAAGGGCAAAAGGGGAGGACTTGAAGCCAGACCAGAAAAAGGAAACAAGCGGGAACTTAACAATGCGCCGCGGCGCCAATATTGGATTTTCCGCTTAAAAATTCACGTAGTATAAAGCCCCGAACACGAGGCGCGGCTGCTTGAGAATCGAATGCTTACGAAAAATCTCTTTCGAGTCGGTTTTACGCCAGGTTCGACGCCAGTTCGAAAGCAGTCAGAACGTTGGGATTTAATCCCGAACTTATCGCCTTAAGGTAACGTTTCATTTTCACGGGATGTAAGCGAAGTGATTTAAAGTGGTTTAAAAAGATATTTCCTGGAGGTAACACTTACGATATATCGATCGTGAAATACTAGTTGTCTCCAGAAACGTTGAAACAGTCGAATGATTTTCTTTATTTATTCAGCAGAAATCAATTCGATCGAATGTTAAAATTTAGTTTTCTCTATTCTCATGATTCCAAAAATATAGATATTTTAAGAATAATATTTTAATCGTAAGTATAGAACAAATTACTTTTTTCTTCAGAACGTATCTAATTCGAACGTTTATTTCAGTTTGCAATTTTTCATTCTCTTTAAACTGCGAAAGATTTGTCAAAGAATGATAGATGATAGGAAAGAAAATTCTAAAGATAAGCTGTGAGACAGACATCTTGCAGAGTTTAGAGATAAGCGTTTCCATCATCCCCCTTTGAAGGAATCCGTTGAGATGTCGTGTATGCCGCGCGTAATTTATAAGTTGCTTAATAAACCCCGTCTGTGACAAATACCATAAATAATCACGCTTAGATCCCGCTTCGCGATCCTATAAATGTCCGCTCATATTTTCTAGAGCAGGAAGCAATCAGACATGACGTGAAAAAATATCACTGGCAAAAGTCCCGGGCGTTCTTACACGGCGACGCAGAAAAAAAGAAGATACGCGCGAGAGAAGGAATCCCGCGTAATAAATATTACTTTTTCCTCGGCATCATTAACTTAGGAACGAAGCGGCGTAAAATTAATTTACTAAAAGTATCGGTGTGCTCAACGTCCGACAAAAATTGGGGGAGGAAAAAACTTAATGGCGAAATAATGGGAATTTTTTTTTCTAAGTTGGAAGATGGCCAAAGGTAGTCTTACTTCATCTCTGAATCGTCCGCGCGATTAAGTAGATATATTTCAAATATAATTCAATTGCAGAAATGATTTAATAAAAATATACAACTTTGAATAGAAGTTTCAAGAAGATTGCGCACAATTTTTCTTTTTATCTACTTATAGTCGTCAACTAATTTAAAAATAAATGTTCTGCCAGCAAGATCAATAGTCCAACATAAAATAGCTAATAAATGTTTCTATATTTTTTGTTTTATTAATATTAATAATATTTTCTTTGAACCTCTCTTATATGTATACATTACTCTATTATTGATTGAATTAGTTTGCTGGAAATACTTTTTCTCTTTTACGCATTAATTAACTCTCATGATTAATTTATAACGGTTCGCGATTACTTCCGTATTCCGCTAGATTTCCCGAAGTGAAGCTCTAGAAATTTTTTTTCTGGGAAATAAATAAATCTAACTCCCTGACCCGGCTAAGAGCCTCCGGATAGATGTACGACGCTCCGGTCGGGACAACTGGATTCTTGATTGCACGTAACAGACAAATGAAGCGAGGGGAGTGGCTGAAAACAAGATAAACGAGGAAAAAGGAGAGATAGCAAAGCCGGGGATAGCACTGCGGAAGAACGGAGTAAGCAGCAATTCGGCGTGTTCACGCCGTGGCCCCTCTCCAAGCCGGGTTAATCCATTTGTGCGAGTAAATCGGTTAGCTGAAATTGGGTTATATTTCCTAATCGATACGATGGATTAAGTTACCGGTTGGTCCGTCCTCCGCTCGGTCACGACGTACGGCTCTTTCTTCGCTAATTATCGTTAGTAGCGGCGAAGGGAACGTGAGAGAAATATGAATTCCTGCCGAAGCTTCAACGGAAGATTACACTACTACCTTACAATTAGCTGTATCACATTTGAATGCAAACGGCATTTCTAATTATAAAAAGGTGTCGCTACGCAATTTTTTATCTATCGCGAGAATTTACGAAAATTCTTCGAGATTGCCGGAATGCTCGGGAATGAGAAATTGCAGATCTCAAATCCCTCTTCCCTTTGATTCAAACGGTCTGCGATTTTTCTTGTGACAGCTTAATCTAACTCGGGGAGCGTAAGCGTAAAGCTAAAGCGCGAAGTTGCCGCGGCACGACTTTCGGGAAGGAAGTTCGAAAACGTGCGGATGCTCCTTTAACCAATGTAAAAGTGGGTCGAGGAGCGCCGAGTTTGATCGTCAGCAACCTGGCCGGATTACGCAGTCCCGCTGCGAAGTTAGAATGTTCCTGATCTAAGTTAAGTCGTAGTCCGGTCACGAAAGAACCCACCGTCGCTTTAAGCAGGTAGCTACTCCAACCGGGCAACGTCGATGGCAGTGGACGTGGATTGTATGTACGTGTACAAAACACAAAACACCTCCACCGATTAAACCAATTGGACGGCTGTCTGATATATTGGAAGTTAAAGAGGTAATTGCGAGCGGCGTTGCTGCCACATATTGAGTTGAGTGTCGTCTGAGTGGAAGATTGGACTGTTCCAGCTGCGCGGGCTGAGGATAGAATCGAGCGTGTGATCCAATTATGATGTAACGCATGTTCCATCGCAGGAACGATTGGCAGCGACGAGTGCCTGTGTATAGTTCCTACACCATTCCAAACTTCGAAAGCTACCCAGTGTCACGCGCCCTTCATTGGCGTTTAACGGATGACGGGATGGTCTTCGAAAGAAATGGAAAACGCGCGTTAAGACCGATATTAAATATCGAGCAAATATCCGAGTGAAGTCCACTCTATTCTCTTTTCATTTTCGATGTACTTTATTAAATTAATTATTAATTTAATTATTAGTTATTAAATTATTAAAGTGGGACGTATATATAAATTTATCTTCAATTTTCTTCTAATTATTCATTATTTCATCTGTCGAATTGTTCGAATTTCAATCTCTTTCGAGTATGAAAAATAGGACAATAATCCCGCAGATAAGATACTTATCTTTACATTTTTCTGCCACTACTTTCACAGGTTCCTCTCTACATCTAATAATGAATACATTCCCTATGAAATCTTCAATACCCATCTCTTCCTCTGTCCCTTTATAAATTCTTTTGTTCGAACTTATCTATCATCAGAAGTGATACCTATACCGTAGCGACGTTACTTCGGGTAGTCCCCGACCGCTAGAAAACATAATGGATCCTTCCGAGAAGAGGCGTGAAAAATTTCGGAGGCTGCTGATACTCGATCGTTTGTCACGAGCGGCGCTTATCTGCGATCTCCCCCGAGATCGCGTAGCGCAGACGAAGCGCGTTCTAAGGTACGACGATTGTCGACGTTGAGGAACGTTACCGTGGGTCCCGTAGGAGGTACACGTAGAAAGAATCCTAATAAAAATCTGATACCCCGGTCCGCGCGCGGGTCCAGCCAAACGCGTTTCAAAGGGAAGATAAGGTGACAGAGAGAGAGAGAGAGAGAGACAGAGAAAGAGAGAGAGACACAGGTAACACGACGCGCCGCAGTTGAAATTGAATCCCACTCTCAGGTGAAAAATTACGATCGTTGCTAACACGCCCGGGGGATAATGAAGTCTGCTTTCGCAGCCATTGTTCCGCGGAGGGCACGTCGGCGCGTAGCTGCGCGCCGAGCCGCGCCTTCCGACAGCCGCCGCCTGCTTTCTCGCCGCTAGCGCGACGCCTCTAATTATTAATTTCGGCCTTTTAATATTAATTAGACGCGCGCGGGTCTGGGCGCGCGAGCGAGCGAGCGCTCGCCCGTGCACGCGCACGCGCACGCGCGCGTACTATGTGCGGTAATGGAACGGCGTGATTACGCCGAGATTATAATTTTAATCGCTCGATTACCACTCCGAGATAGCGGGAGGAATGGAGGAAGGAAGAGAGAGAGAGTGTGTACCGC